TCCTTCCCCAGGGCCACTTCCTCATCTGTCCCACAAGGAGCCACTCACTGTCTCTCAGAAACTGGGGGTGTCCCGGGAGCCAGCGGCAGAGGCGGGAGACAGGGACCCCTGGTGGGGCGATCCAGATGCTGCCTAGTTCCAGCCAAAGCGACCCAGCTAACCTGCAACCTCACCCTCATTGACACTCGCTTTGGGCCAAGAGCAGTCGCATTTTATGTCCTTTTCAATTTTATTCGTTTACATTCTTCCAGGCAGAGAGAGAGAGAGCGCGCGCCCGAAGTTAAGCTTTTGGGGTGCAGGAGGAAGTTCAGTCCTGGGTATCACAGAGTGGGGGGAAGGGGTAAAGAAGTCTAAGGGGGAGACCAAAAGTCCCCCAAGGTTCAAACTTGCAGGCTGTGGGAAGTTTATATTCGTCTATTTTTATTTTGGATTTTCTTCTTTGTTTTTTGTTTGTTTTGTTTCTTGTTCTTTGCTTGTTTGTTTCAAGACAGGCTTTCTCTATGTAGCCCTGGCTGTCCTGGAACTCGCTCTGTAGACCAGGCTGGCCTGGAACTCACAGACATCCACCTGCCTCTGCCTCCCGAGTGCTGGGATTAAAGGCCCCAACATGTAGCCTGAGAGGTTTGTATTTAAAGGCGCTGGGGGCGTGGCTGGTCCTCGGCAGGGAGGGAAAGACACACCGTTGAGGGGCTGAGGTTAGGAAGCTGTCTGGACCAGGTTGGGCTGTAGGGACACGGGAGGCTTAAGTTTGGCAGGTGACAGGCACAGCTGCTGCAGGCAGAGGCCGATCGAGGTTGGGTGTTTTGGTCCGAGGCAGCAGAATGGGCTGTGAGTGCCCAGAAGCAGACATAAGCAGGGGTGGCGGTGGGGAATGGTGGTGGACGGGCTGATGCCCGGCGGCCCGTTTGTTGGCCTCTGCTGCCTCCTGCTGGCTCAGAGTGGAATTGTGTGGGCGCTGTGAGGCTCCCGGATCCAAGAATGACTTTTCACACTCTAACTGCCCTTTCTTTGTTGTGTTTTCTTTTTTTTTTTTAAATCACACGTATTTAATACTGTGTGTGTGTCGAAGCTCAGAAGGTGGCTTGTGGGAGTCAGTTCCCTCCTTCCGATGTGTGGGTACCAGTGATCAAAACTCAGGCCATGAGGCCTGGCAGCAAACTCCTTTACCCGCTGATCCATCTTGTGGTCTGTTTTTGGTTTGTGAATATTTAAGCACAAATATCTTAGTGGTGAGAACATTTCTTTTATTGCTTCCGCTACCAACATCGTCAGTGTTATTGTCTCCAGATCTTCGATTGTCCAGGAGTCTCGAGGTCAGCTCCTCAAGGGACAGGGCTCTGTTTTGAATAGAGACATCTCCTGGAACCTAAAACAGTGATGCATCCAGTAGGTGCTTAGTAAATACTTGTGGGATCCATGATTGGATTCATCACCCCTCCTGCTCTCTAACCCTTCCTGTTCAATCTGCAGCCAGCCCCTGCAAGGTCGCCCTCTATGTATCGATCGACTCTTGAGGCTCGCCCAGTATCTGCTCAATGAAGGGAGTCTGGGAAAAAAATAAATGAAGCAGGGCAGGCCTGCTGAGACATTTCCGGGTTTGAGTCCCAAGATGTTGCCTTTGTGCAGTGCTCCCGTGCTCCCCCTTCTGGCCGGAGTAGAATTGCACGCCCGTAGCCCCGGCAGGACTCTGTGCCAGGTGACTTCCTTCAGCCAATGAAGAGCGAGTGAAAGCCGTGCTTCCAGCTCCGGGGGTTTATAAATAAAACCAATGCATGTGCGCTCCCGCTCCTTGCTTTTTCCTGGTACAAGGACTAACCCCGTCAGCCTGGTTTCTGAAGATGTCCACATGACGCCAAGTTCTCCTGACCCTTGTCACACCTGTCTACCTGGGACAGATGTGTGGGAGGGGAAAATAATAAACCTTACAAGCGTTCAAGCCAGGGTCAGCACAGGGCCATTGCTGCCGCAGCATATTCTGTCCACAGCATCGCCCTCCCCCTCCCTATCGTCCACGTGCTGCTTCTCAAGGCTCGGTGTCTCCAGTCACAATGTGGCGATGTAATAGGCCCAGCCTCCTCCTAAGACTTCTGAGAATCGGGGGTCCGAGGTCACCCACCATCCCCAAAAATATATATGCAGGATTTTGTCACTGGTTCTATTGATTTTAAAGATTTATTTATTTATGTATTTTTATTTTAGTTTTTTGAGACAGGGTTTCTCTGTATTGTTTTGGAGGCTGTCCTGGAACTCCCTTTGTAGACCAGGCTGGCCTCGAACTCACAGAGATCCGCCTGCCTCTGCCTCCCGAGTGCTGGGATTTATTTTTATATGTAGGTCTGTTCCTCTGCAAGGGTTTGTGCACGTGGGTGTAGGACCTGAAGAGGCCAGAAGAGGGTGCTAGGTCCCCTGGAGCTAGAGTCACAGGCAGTTGCCAGCTGCCCAGTGTAAGCGCTGGGACTTGAACTCTGTCCCTCTTCAAGAGCAGCAAGCGTACTTAACTACTGAACCATCCCTCCACTCCCAGGGAGCTTTGAATTGTGTGCATTTGGAATATGAACGGGGAAGGGTCACCATTCTGTCGGAAATGAGGCCAGAGAGGTGTGGTGGCACAAGTCTGTTGTATTAGCATTGGGGAAGTGGGGACAGGAGGGTCCTGCCTTTAAGGTCATTCTCAGGTATATGTGAGGCCAGCCTGGGCTACCCTCAACCCTGCCTCAGGTTGGGGGCGGGGACTATGAGGTGACCGGTGTAGTGCACGTTGCATTGGTAAATCATCATGTACTCTTTGAGATCGCTGAGGAGCTAACTCTGGAGGCCCGGCCGCCTGCCTCACACTTCAGACCCCAGGATGTTTGTCTCAGAGTGTCCCCGGGGGACCTCTTGTCTAGGGGGAAGGGCCACCCACCCCTCCCAGCCTGTGACAGGGAGGAAGAAGAACAGCAAAAAAATAGCCTAAGAGTAGAAACATCGCATCCTTGAGAACAGCCAGAAGACAAGCCGTTTCCAAGGTGTTAATATTCTTCTTTGTTTATTTTGTGAATGTGTCTGTGACTTCAGGAGTTACAGGCAAGTGTGAGTTTCCTTTTTTAAAAAATATTTATTTATTATGAATACAACACCCTGCCTCCATGCATGCACGCCAGCAGAGGGCGCCAGATCTCATTACAGATGGTTGTGAGCCACCATGTGGTTGCTGGGAATTGAACTCAGGACGGTGCTCGTAACCTCTGAGCTATATCTCCAGCCCCCAAGTGTGAGTTTCCTAATGGAGGTGCTGGGAACTGAACTCAGGTCCTCTGGAAAAGAAGTGTGGGCTGCCCAGTGCTGAGCCATCTCTCCAGCCCCGGGGTACCGTCCTTCGTCTCCCGAGGTGGGGAAGAGGAGCCAGGAGCTCAGCTGACGCCTGCTGTCCCAGTGGGGCAGTGTGAGCATCTGATGTGCTGAGATGTTTTACCGCACAGCGTTCCCGTGCTACTTACTCGTTCTAAAGGGAAAATATGACCACGGTAGCTCATCTTCCGACCTTGCCCGTGGAAGTGGAACGGGTGGACTCAGAGACCTGATCTGGGAAAATGCTGCTTGGAGGTGGGGTCGATGTGTGTTAGAAAGAGCTGGGATGCTGGGCAGTGGCGGCGTCTGCCTTCAATCCCAGAAACCCCCAGAGAGGCAGAGGCAGGCGGATCTCTGTGAGTTCGAGGCCAGCTTGGTCTACAGAGCGAGTTCCAGGACAGTCAGGGCTACACAGAGAAATGCTGTCTTAGAAAGAAAGAAAGAAATAGAGAAAGAAAGAAAGAGATATAGAAAGAAGAGAGAGGCAGAGAAAAGAAAACAAATAATAGATTTCTCAAAAAAAAAAAAAAAAAAGGCTTCCGCAAAGGCGTCTTTCCCGGTTCAGGTTGCTATGTTCCTGGCATGCAGACGCTGTCTACGGCACCCCAGAAACCTGACTCCCTCACTTGCTCTGCTTCTTGTCAAGGAAGACAACCTCTCTGTGAACTGTTTATAAAACTTCCATCCATATTTGATTGACCTTGGTCTTTTTTTTTTTTTTTTTTTTTTTTGGTTTTCCGAGACAGGGTTTCTCTGTATTGTTTTGGAGTCTATCCTGGAACTCGCTCTGTAGACCAGGCTGGCCTTGAACTCACAGAGATCCGCCTGCCTCTGCCTCCCGAGTGCTGGGATTAAAGGCGTGTGCCACCAACGCCCGGCTGTCCTTGATCTTAATCATAAGACCCGACCTAGTTGCAAGGGTGTCTGGGAAATGTAGTTTTTATGTTGAGGAGGCCTCATCTGAGGTCAGGGTGACCTGGGCTACGCTGCGGTAATGAGCAGCCCCGCTTTACCCACAGCATGACTCAGGAAGGGTTCATTTCTCGCTCCGGCGACACTCCTGATTCAGGTAGGCAGGTGTGACAAGGGTGGGGAGAATTATGTGGGATCACTCAGTAACCACTGACGGGACCAGTCACTGTGACAGGAATGGGGAGGGACAGTGATGACACATTTCAACAATCAAGAAGTCACATTTGCAGCACCCTAATCAAGGGTTGAGGAAGTGCACTTCCACATGTGGCCAGAAGAGGGAGCTATAGCACGGTTCCAACATCATTCGGTCAAACTGGAATCCACGGCCCCTCCAATCTTTTTCTTTCTTTCTTTTAATAAATTTTGCAGGTGTGGTGCGCACGCCTTTAGCACAGCACTCAAGAGGCCGAGGTAGGTGGATGTCTGTGAGCTCAAGGCAAGCCAGGGCTACACAGAGACTTTGTCTAAAAAATAATTTATATTCATTCGCTGACCCCTCTAGCCCTGAGGTCGCACGGTTGATCGGGGTGGACATCTTAACCAGGCACCAGCTGCGTGAGATCTAGGCCTGGCGAAGTCCCTCGAGGGCTCGTTTGCATACTGCCAATCAGTTGGGACCTCAAGTTCCCTCCCCAGGGATCCTTCAGCACCCTCGTTTCCTGTTTGTTGGAACTAACTGCTACCAAAAGAGTGGCTTAAAACAACACGAGTTTATTATCTTACAAAATCGTGGATAGCCGGACGTTGGTGGCGCACGCCTTTAATCCCAGCACTCGGGAGGCAGAGGCAGGTGGATCTCTGTGAGTTCGAGACCAGCCTGGTCTACAGAGTGAACTCCAGGACAGCCTCCAAAACAACACAGAGAAACCCTGTCTCGAAAAAGCAAAAAAATAAAAATAAAAATAAAATCGTGGATACTGGGAGTCCAAAGTGGATGTCGCTGCTCTGTGGTCCCAAAGGCCACAGGACTGGGTGCTTCTGGAGGCTGGGGGAGACGGGGGGGGGCAGTTTCTTGAGCTTTCAAGCTTCTAGAGTCTTCTCCCATTTTCAAGTGCAGAGCTTGCCATCTCTTCTCAGTGGCTGATGACTTCCTTCTCCGATGGTTTGGATGATCGAACAGGGCTTCTCATGCATGCTTGGCAAGCGCTCTAGCTGCCGAGCCACGCCCCCAGCCCCTCACTGGGGGATTCTAGGCAGGGTTTCTACCACTGAGCCACGCCCCCAGCCCCTCACTGGGGGATTCTAGGCTGGAGCTCTACCACTGAGCCATGCCCCAGCCCCTCACCGGTGGGTTCTAGGCAGGCACTGTACAGTCCCCGTCCTCCTGGTGGCTGATTTGCACACCCCCACACAAACACGCACGCACACACGCACGCACGCACGCGCACACACACGCACATGCACACATACACACACACACACACACACACACACACACACACGCCCTCCCCGCCATGGGTTGCCACCCACAGGTTGAGCACCACTCTTCCGGAATGTTCTAGCAGTGTTTTGTCCCCGTGGAAAGGGCTTCGGGCACCTGGTCGAGCCACGATGGTTTCAAGGTGGGGTGCCTTCTAGGAAGACCTAAGGCCTTCTCCCCGGATGGAGACCCCGGCCCTGGGGAAGCAAGAATTCGCTTTCCTGGGCAGGAGGCCTGCGGGGTGCCGAGGCGCAGGCTGAAGGTTTTTGGGGTCAGTCTCCGTGCACCTGTGCCACGAGGCGCCGGGTCTGCGGCGAGCCCATCTGGCCAGCTCCCAAGCTCGGCGGGGCGGGTGTCACGGGTGTCTTCTCTGCAGGGCTGGGGTCAGGGGAAGGCGGAGGCTCTGTCTTCTGGGCAGGCTGGAGCTGGCACCAGCTGGCAGTACGGGGCCGGGTCGGGGTTTAGTAGGTCCTAAGAGGAGGGGGGGAGAGGGGCTGTGAGGGGCAGGAGCGGGGCAGGGGCGGGGCAGGGGCGGGGCAGGGGCGGGGCAGGGGCGGGGCAGGAGCGGGGCAGGGGCGGGGCAGGAGCGGGGCAGGGGCGGGGCTGTGAGGGGCAGGAGCGGGGCAGGGGCGGGGCAGGAGCGGGGGTGGGAGTGGGGACAGGAGCGGGGCTGTGAGGGGCAGGAGCGGGGCAGGGGCGGGTAGGGGCGGGGCAGGAGGGGGGCTGTGAGGGGCAGAGAGGGGCAGGGGCGGGGCAGAGAGGGGCAGGGGCGGGGCAGGGGTGGGAGTGGGGCAGGAGCAGGGGCAGGAGCGGGGGTGGGAGTGGGGGCAGGAGCGGGGCAGGAGGGGGCAGGGGCGGGGCAGGAGCGGGGGTGGGAGTGGGGGCAGGAGCCGAGCAGGGGCGGGGCAGGGGCGGGGCAGGAGCGGGGCAGAGAGGGGCAGGAGCGGGGCAGGAGCGGGGCAGGAGCGGGGCAGAGAGGGGGGCTGTGAGGGGCAGAGAGGGGCAGGAGCGGGGCAGGAGCGGGGCAGGAGCGGGGCAGGGGCCAGGCAGAATCCCGCAGACCGAGAATGGAGGCAGAGACTTAACGGAGTGAGTCCCAGAGTTGGGGGCGCCGCGGGGAGCAGGAGGGGTGGACAGAAAATACCAGGCAGGGTCGGGGTGGGTCGGGGAAAGAACTGTGAAGAAACCGAGTTCGGGACCGGGAGAAACACGGATGCGGAGATGGGGGGCGGAAGGTGAGGGAATGAAGGGGGGGTGGGGAGCCGAAGGGATGGGAGACGCAGGGGGAGGGAGGGAGAGCGCGGAAGCCCGGAAGAGCAGAGAAACTCACCCCAGGACACAGACAGAGCTTAAGGGCCCCCGGGGGAACTGGAGAGTCACCCGAGAGCCAATCCAGAAACGGGTCCCCTCGCGCCGTGGGGCTCCTATGTGACCCCGAGTCATCCCCTTCCCACTCTGGCTCTCCCCCTACAGATTGGAAGCCTGGGATCGTTTTTACAGAGGAGGCCCAGGCCCAGGAAGGTAGGGGGCTTGCTCCGGGGGCCAGTCTCAAGGAAGCCGAAATGGGTTTTCTGGGGAGCTTTCTTGGGGGGAGGGAGGAGCCCCTGCCCCTGGCCATCTGACCCTCTGGCACCATGGGGTTCCTGCTGCTCCCCGAGTCATACCTGGTAGTGCTGGTTCTGGGGCTGCGGTTGCTGGGATGGGAGTGGAGGTAGACTCTGGAAGAGAGGGGTACCGGTGGGGGGGTGCCCGTGTCCCCCCAAACTAAAGACCCTGATGTTATGACACCCATGCTGGCCTCAGAGTCCCCGCCCTGAGGGCAGGGAGCTCACCCCTTGTAGGCCAACAACCTTAGGCCTGACATCAGGGCTTTTGGGAAGCTTGGGTGCTGGCCAATATCACCGAGAATGCTTAGCTCCTCCCCCACACTGGGGGTTAAACAATTAGTCTTTGCTAGCCGGGTGGTGGTGGTGGTGGCGCTCACCTTTAATCCCAGCGCTCGGGAGGCAGAGGCAGGAGGATCTCTGTGAGTTGGAGGCCAGCCTGGGCTACAGAGGGAGTTCCAGGACAGCCAGGGTTATAGAGAGAAACCCTATCTTGAAAAAAAGGAAAAATAATATATATTGTTGTACGTAGGGGTGTATGCAGCACACATATAGAGGTTTGAAGTTGTGGAATCAGTTTTCTCTGGCGTTTATGTGGTTTCCAGGGATGGAACTCAGGCCATCAGTGGGGCAAGAGCCTCTGCCTGCACAGCCACTCCCCTGGCTCCTTGATTTGGTTTATTTATTTAGTTTTTGGTGTTTTTCGTTTTGTTGGTATTTTTGGTTTTTCTAGGCAAGGTTTCTCTCTGTAGCTTTGGAGCCTGTCCTGGAACTCGCTCTGTAAATCAGGCTGGTCCTGAACTCACAGAGATCCGCCTGCCTCTGCCTCCCAAGTGCTGGGATTAAAGGCGTGCGCCTGCATCACCCGGCTTTCCTGATGTGTTTTAAAGATTTCTTTTAATTTTTATTGGTGTGTGTGTCTGTCTGTCTGTCTGTCTGTGTGTGTGTGTGTCTACTTGTGTGTTTGTGTGTGGTGTCTGTGTGTGTCTCTGTGTCTGACTGTGTGTGTGCGTGTGTGTATCTGTGAATATGTATATTTGTGTCCTGTCTGTATGAGTCTCTGTGTGTCTGTGTGTCTGTGTCTTTGTGTGTGCCTGTGTGTTTCTGTGTGTGTGTGTGTGAGTATGTTTGTGTGCCTGACTGTGTGCCTGTATATATGTGTTTTGTGTGTGTGTGTGGTGTATATAAGTGTCTCTGTGTGTGAGATGTGTGTATGTGTCTGTGTGTCAGTGTCTCTATGTGTGTATGTGTCTGTGTATGCATGTGTCTCTGTGTGTGTGTGTGTGTGTGGTGTATATATGTGTCTGTGTGTGTGTGTGTAAGTGAGTCTGTATTGGTGTATATATGTGTCTCTGTGTGTGTGTGAGTGTGTGGTGTATATATGTGTCTGTGTGTGTGTGTGTGTGAGTGTGTGGTGTATATATGTGTCTCTGTGTGTGTGTGAGTGTGGTGGATATGTGTCTGTGTGTGTCTGTGTGTGTGTGTGTGAGTGTGATGTGCATGTGTTTGTCCACTGAGCGCCAGCACAGGCCATCAGGTCTGCTGCAGCAGGACTTACAGCTGGTTGTGAGCTGCCCAGTGTGGGTACTGAGAACCAAACTTGGGTCCTCAAAAGTAGAAGCAAGTTCGGGGCCATCTTTCCAGTCGGCTCTCCCCACTTTTGTTGTTTTCTGAGACAGTGTCTCAGTCTACCCCAGGCTGACCTCGAGTTTGGGGCTGACTTTGAACCCTTGGCTCTCCTGCCTGCAGTGTCCTAGTGCTGGGATGACAGCCGCTAGGGAAACGCAGTTCTTTGGTGGCTCTGCCTGCAAACTGTGCAGCTCCCTTGAGCTGTCACCTGTGCTAAGGTGTGGCTGCCAGACTCGCCCTCGCCCTGTGTGTAACCCCAGAAAGCTCACTGCTCCCCCAGCCGGACTCGGCTGGAACCCCGGTTGGCTCTCATTGGGCTCTTTCTGCGTTGAAGAGACACAAGAATTGGAGAGAGGGGCTGGCAGGATGGCTCGGTGGGGGACTGCCGCTAACCCTGATGGTCTGAGTTCGATGCCCAGCATGCACACGGTGCACAGAGATAACTGGCGCCCACAAGTTGTCCTGGGACCTCCACGTGTGTGCTGCGCCATGCCACACGCGCCCCCACGCCCGACACTCACGCAAACGGAGGAAAGGAGTGGACTGGAGAGGAAGGAGGAGCATTGTGGTTTCCAGAAGCCCAGGCGCCACAGCTAACTCAGGGCCTTGGAGGAACGCGCTCTCAGCGGACGGGACTCACCATGGCCAGGTTCGCCGGCTCTGTGTCACCCATGGGGGACACCAGGAAGACTGGAGACGGCATCACTTCATAGATGTTGCTGTCCCCTGAAGCAGAGGAGGAAGGGGGGCCCCAATAACAGACAGCTGCTGTAGGTTCACCCCACCCACTCAGCCAGCTCCGCACACCCCGCCTCCAGCCAGCTGTGTGCTGGGGACACGGTGGTGGCAGGGCCCTCCCGGTCCTTGAAGTCCCCCGAGAGTGACGAGCCAGAGGCTGGGGGGGGGGGGAGAGCTGTGGGAAGCAGGTGCCTGACCAGCCGGGACCTCAGGGAGGACTACGGGAGGAGGGGTCATCTGAGACAGTGACAAGAGAGAAGGCCACAGGGACGTTTGCGGGAGCCCGGCGAGAGAGCCCACTGTCCGCAGACAGCCAGGGACCTGCGAGCCAGGCCAGGGAGACACAGGTTTGTCCCGGGTACTGGGGGAGCTGTGGAAGGCTTATGAGCAGGGCACCTGTGGGAAGCAGGGACCCTGGAGGTTTAGGAGGGGCCGTTAACCCTCTATGGTCCCCTCGGTGCATCCAAGGGTCCCCGGGGGCTCTGACTGCGCGCAGGACTGAAGGGCGGGGCGAACAGACGCTCCTGGCTTACCAGATTCAGGACTGGTGTGCAGTTCTGACTGTTCTGTAGCCGGAACCCTGGGGGAGCATAGAACCCTGAGATGTTGGGGCGGGCGACCCCAAGAACCTGGAGCCCCTCACCCCCACTCCCACCTGATCTGACCCTCACCCCACCTGGGGGAGACAGGGCATCTAGAGGGGAAGCAGAAGGGATGGAGGACAGAGAGGGAGATCTGGGGCCTGTACCTGGGGCTCTGGCCCTTCCGCCTTCGAGTGACCAGGAGGCAGGCAATGCCACCAACAAGCAGTGACCCCACAGCAAGGCTCCCAATGATGGCAGCAGCCATGATCCCAGCATTAACCGGCAGGTGTGCCGAGACTGAGTAGTCACGTGTATCTGGGAGAGAAGGTTGTATCGGTGATGACTTTTGTCTGTCCTTACCTAATAATTTACTTTACAGTGTCATGCTATGCATGCTAGGCCACCCATTCTACCACTGAGCCACACCCCCAGCCCCTCACTGGGGGATTCTAGGCAGGGGCTCCACCACTGAGCCACACCCCCCAGCACCTCACTAGGGGATTCTAGGCAGGGGCTCTGTTACTGAGCTAAACCTTCTCAGTTCATTTTTTGTAAATTATCATTTTTAAACGTTATTATTTTGAGATATGGTCTCATATAGCCCAGGCTGGCTGCAACTCTTCTATGTAGCTAAGGATGGCCTTGACCTTCTTTGTTCATACATACATGTGTGTGTGTGTGCATGTGTTTGTTTGCATGTGGGTACGTACAGTTGAAGACCAGGAGTTGATGTCAAGTGTCTTCCTCGATTTCTACCTTGTTTTGGGGGATGGCGTCGCTTATGCAGCCTGGAGTCCACACCCTGGCTAGGCTGACTGGCGAGCAATTCCAGGGATCCTCCTGCCTCCAAGACTCGCCCATTCCCGGGATTAAAGGCGAGTACTACCACGTGCAGTTTATATGTTTCTGTGGATTTAACCCAGGCTAGGGACATCCTGCCAACAGAGCCACATGTCCAGGCTATGGAAATTGTTTTTTTTTTTTTTACTGTGTGCATACAAGTGTTTTGCCTGCATGTATGTCTACAGACCATGTGCATGCTTCATGCTTGCAGGGGCAAGAGGGGGCACGGGATGTCCTGGAACTGGAACTCTAGCAGATTTGAGGTGCCATGTGGGTGCTGGGAACCAAGCCCGGGTCCTCTGGAAGAGCAGTCGGTGCTCTTCTCTGTGGGCCAGCTCTCTGAGGGCCCTGTAAATCTTTTTTTTTTTTAATCATTTTGCTGGGTGGTGGTGCAGGCCTCGAATCCCAGCACTCAGGAGGCAGAGGCAGGTGGATCTCTGTGAGTTTGAAGCCAGCCTGGTCTACACAGTGAGTTCCAGGACAGCCAGGGCTAAAAAGAGAAACCCTGTCTCAAAAACAAACAAAGAAACAAAAAAAACATCATTTTTCTCTCTTCCCTACTTTCCCCTCTCTGCACTTTTTGAGGCAGGATTGCAATAAATTGCTCAGATTGGCTTTGAACCTTCTTTTTTTTTTTTTTTTGGTTTTTTTTTTTTTCGACACAAGGTTTCTCTGTGGCTTTGGAGGCTGTCCTGGAACTCACTCTGTAGGCCAGGCTGGCCTCGAACTCACAGAGATCTGCCTGCCTCTGCCTCCCAAGTGCTGGGATTAAAGACATGCACCACCAATGCCCGGCTGGCTTTGAACCTTCTATCCTTCTGCCTCAGTCATCAGGCTGGCTCAACCCAGGCGGGGCTCAAGAGTCTGTAACTCTTCCTGCCCGTCAGACAGGGGCAGTCTCCTCGAGTGAACTGTCTCCCTCGGGCAACTTTTCTTGACCATAGTGAGTTTATCACCTGAGCCTGTGAAACGTCTTAGTTTCCAAAGCCCATCTGGAAACAGTGTCTCCCACTCTGGCTAAGACTGACTCTCTGTGAGAAGCTGGAGGGTCTAAGTCCTCTTTGTTTTTGAGACAGTTTCTCTGTGTAGCCCTGGCTGTCCAGGAACTGGCTCTGTAGACCAGGCTGGCCTTGAATTTACAGAGATCCGCCTGCCTCTGCCTCCCAAGTGTGGGATTAAAGGTGAGCGCCACCATTGCCTGGCTTATCGCTCTTTGAATGTGGAACACTGACTGGCATCAAAAGGATGTCACATCAGTGACACTGCATGTACACAAGGATAGAGTTAGCAGCATCTGAGGGAGCTGGGGGCGTGGCTCAGTGGTAGAGCCCCTGCCTAGAATCCCCCAGTGAGGGGCTGGGGTGTGGCTCAGTGGTAGAGCCCCTGCCTAGAATCCCCCAGTGAAGGGCTGGGGGTGTGGCTCAGTGGTAGAGCCCCTGCCTAGAATCCCCCAGTGAGGGTCTGGGGTGTGGCTCAGTGGTAGAGCCCCTGCCTAGAATCCCCCAGTGAAGGGCTGGGGTGTGGCTCAGTGGTAGAGCCCCTGCCTAGAATCCCCCAGTGAAGGGCTGGGGGGGGCGTGGCTCAGTGGTAGAGCCCCAAGATCACATGGTTCTTCTGTGAACCATCAGGCTGGATCATGCTGATCTTTCTTTCTTTGCATTAGTTTATTTATTTATTCATATGTCTGCATGCACTTGCAAGTGGAGCTTAGAGGCAAACTTTTGGGGGTTGGCTTTCTCCGTTTACCATGCGGGTCCCAGGGATCAAAATCAGTCCATCAGGCTTGGCAGCAAGTGCCTTTACCCTTTAAGCCATCTTACTGGCCCCGCTGACAGTTTTGAGACAAGGTTCTAGCCCAATCTGAATGGAACTCATTTTGACGCCCCCAGGCTGGCTCAGAATGCCCCCCTCCGCCAACCTCCCCGGTGCTGGGTGACACCTCTGTCGTCTTCTTCAGTGAGACCTCTCAAGTGACCTCCCTTCCTGTGTCGTGTTAGTCTGTTTAATTTTCTGAGCCAGGTAAATCATAACCCCGCTGAGCCTCAGTTTCCCCATCTAAAATGAGGCAACCAGGGTGACTGCACCAGGAAGCTTCTTTAAGTGACAGAGTAGTTAGTGTGTTGCAGTGGTCCTCATGCAGGGGTGGCTCTGGTTCTGGGGGGGGGAGCATTTGGCAAAATCTGGCACCATCTGTGGTCCTTGAGAGTAGCAAGCATGAGTAACGTCTAGTGAGACCAGAGAGGCTGAACGACTTCTCTGAGACACACAGCCTCCCTCTCCAAGCTATCAGCCAGTCCTGATGGTCAGCCTGGTTTACAGAAGACACTCGGTCGGCAAGGTTCCCAAGGAGTGTTAGATGTCACTGTTGTCCCCACCCTGTCACCTGGCCCTCCACTCGGAGCAGCAACATTAGCACACACTTGTTTCGAAAACTGAGCAACGCATCAGGGTCAGGTTTAAAAAAAAAATAGGTGCTCAGTAAATATGGGGGTAATGAACATTTAGGAAGAATCAATGAAACGGGGTCGGGGAGATCTGTGGTCTGGTATACAGTAGGTGCTCAGTCTACGCACACGAATGGGGGGGCACGTGAAAACGGTGTTTGAACGTGACCTTCCTCCCGCCACAGCCTCTCACTCACCGGCCACCTGGACCTCAGTCTTGGCCTTCATTGTCCAGGCAGGGTTGACGGTGACGGCCACGTGGTAGGTGCCGCTGTCTGAAGCCTGGGCGCCTCGGAGCAGCATGGAGCCGTTGGGGAAGCCAACGATGTCTCTCTGTCCCATGGCGCTGCCATCCCTCTGGGGCCGCGGGAGCCCAGGGATGTAAGAGAACAGCCTGGTGCCCCCGTTGGTGTCCTCCCCCAGGTACCAGATGAAGTCCTGGATGGCGCTGGGGACGCCGCGCAGGGAGAGGAGAAGGTCCTGGTTCTTCTGAGGCTGCTCTGGGATCTTCTGGATGTGGAGGGCGGCCTGGGAGCCATGGGGCAGCCAGAGAGCCAGGATCAAGGCTGCAGGGAGGTATGGAGGAGGCCTGAGCTCGGGTGGAGAAAACCAAACTGTCTTCTCTGCTGACTCTCAGCTGGAAGCCAGGACCCTGAGGGCTGCCCATTGGAATCGGCGCTGAGATTGATTAGTGATGTCTGCCCTGGGTGCGGGAATGGGAATACAGGCACAGATGCCACCGATCTGCCACCCCACTGACAGAAGGTTTTGTTTTGTTGCTCTGAGATGGACCCTCTGTATTCACTCGTTCAACTAGTATCTAAAGGTGTATCTATTAGTTATCATGCCAATTACATCACAGGCCTAAAACTCCATGGGTTTTGTTGTTGTTTATTTTCATTTCTTTCTTTCTTTCTTTTTTTTTTTGAAGCAAGGTTGCACTATATAGCCCAGGTTAGCCCGGAACTCACTATGTAGTTCAGCTCCGACCTATTACCCTCCTGTCTCAGTCTCCAAAGGCTGGCATTACAGATATGCACCACCACGCCTGGCTCCTCCCTAGACTTTGATTTGAGACAAGGTCTCTCCAGTAGACCAGGCTAGCTTTGAACTGACTATGTAGTTCAACCTAGCAAACGCTGGGATTCTAGGTGTGACTGACTCACCACCACTCCGGATTCTCGTCTCTAGTCCCCACCTCCCTCCCGGGAGCACAGCAGGGAAGCAAACGCGAATTCCCGCCTTCATAGTTCTGACATTCTAGAAAATTCCGTGGATGAAGTGCGGATGGAGATGGGATCTTACTATCCTGCCCCTTCTTGCCCCTCGGCCCTCGGAGGTTTTTTCCTCCTTACCTGAGAACGGGAGGCCCTTTGGGCAGCAGCGTGGGGCGCCGGTGTGCGTCTCCATGTGGCTTCCTGCGGGACGACAAAGCCCCGAGAGCCACAGAGTGGGGTCTGTTTCTCTGGAGCGTGAAGTTCAGTGGGACATGGGGCGGACTGTGAGGCCACCGAGCCCCGCATCCCCTTCCAGCCTCCACCCTTGCCTGAGCCGAAGCGCTCGCACTGGTTGGACCAGTCTTCCCGGTGACAGAGGGTTTCCCAGGCACCCTCCCTAGAGCCTTCCTCCTCTTCCCACTCAGCTCGGCGGGCTCCCGGAAGCAGCAGGGCGGCCTCTGGCTGAGCAATCCCTCCTGCGACTCCTGAGCTAGGATGGGGGAAACCGAAGTTCGGGAACCCAGGAGTCAGTGAGAAGCAGAGATGCTTTATCTGTGGTGGGTTCACTCACTTCTCATTTTCTTCTTTTTCTCTTTGTTTTTTCTTTCTTCTTTTCTTCTTTCTTTCCTCTCTCTCTCTCTCTCTCTCTCTCTCTCTCTCTCTCTCTCTCTCTCTCTCTCTCTCTCTCTCTCTCTCTCTCTCTCTCTCTCTCTCTCTCTCTCTCTCTCTCTCTCTCTCTCTCTCTCTCTCTCTCTCTCTCTCTCTCTCTCTCTCTCTCTCTCTGTTTTGAGACAGGGTTTCTCTGTGTTTTTGGAACTCCCTCTGTAGTCCAGGCTGGTCTCGAACTCACAGAGATCCGCCTGCCTCTGCCTCCCGAGTGCTGGGATTAAAGACGTGCACCACCAACTCCCAGTCTAATGCCTGTCTTTACTTTTTCTTTTAACACTTATTTATTTTGCATGTGCCTCTGCGTGCGCGCGCGTGTTTGCGTGTGTGTGTGTGTGTGTGTGTGTGTGTGTGTGTGTGTAGGGTGTGGGATCATCTCTCCACCATGTGTGTCTCGGGGATTGAACTCGGGTCTTCAGGCTGGCGGCAAGCTCCTTCATCCTCTGAGCAATCTTGTCAGCCCATGTTTAGTTTCGTTCTGTTTTTCTCAAAAGAATTCATCCACTCAATCCAACGCCCAATCTCTGTGCTCAGCCTGTGACTTAATGCGGCTTAAGATGGGTCCTCCCTGCCTTCAGCCCTGAGTGTCACCCCCCTGCCTCCACCCCCAGATGCACCCCCAGATAAGGGCTGTAATCAGAGGGGAGAGAAAACTGAGTGGGGGGAGGCTAGGAGGGCCCCTGGGATGTCTCAGCCTAGCATCAGCGGGAGGGAGGGCTCCCTGGTGGAGGTGACCTGGAATCAGGAGGGAGTCAGGCAGCGTCCAGGTGCATCGTGGGAGCTGGGAAATCTGGGAAGGGCTGCGTGAGGGAGGGAGGCCACAGGTGGGCGGTGCCGGTGCTCTAGTTCACCCAGTTTGGAGCTCTGCCTGAACTGTGTTTGGGGTGGAAGCTTCAGGCTACCTACAACCCGAAAGAAGAAAACCAAGCCACAGGAGCTGTCCCCGACCTCACATTCCTGCTGTGGGTAGACGCAGAGACAAGAGGGTCTCCGTGAGTTCCGGGCCAGCCAGGACTGCGTAGAGAGACCCTTCACACCAAAAAAGAAAAATGAGATTTCCTTCCTCAAGCCGGCCTCTTGCAAGTGCTCACTGGCCACACGCATTTAATGGGGGATCACACTGGACAACGGAAACGGAACGTTTCTAGAAGGTTCTATTGAAAAGAGACGGTCTGGAGACAGGGGGAAGGAGGCAAGAGGTGCATCTGCTCCAGAGAAACATCTGCCCCGCAGGAAGAGAGCGCTTTCCGCTGGGGCTGTGTGCTCGGGTGTCTCCTGGACACCTGCCGGGAGGTGGCGGGAGGCGACGGACGGCATCGTTCAGCCCCTCCACTGTGGGGCAATCGGGAACTACAGGTGAGAGTCACCACACCCCACCAGGCCATGCGGGCAGCCCTGCCCTCAGCAACTCTGCTTACCCACCTGGCTGCTGGCACGCCTCTGAGAAGCGTGACTCCACATCGCCCCCTCGTGTTCCTGCCTGGAGTAGCAGCCAGAACTACAGCTGAGCAGCCGGCATCCTGCAGTCGCCGATTCTAACTTTCCATTTGGATCTGCCCGCCGCCACCCATGCCATTTAAAAGACCTGCAGACCCCTCCCCACCTTCTCTATACCCGGAGAGCTCCGAGGTGGTGTCCACACGATGGTCTCAATTCTTCTTGCAGTCCTGTCAACGTTTCTGTCTGCCAGGGAGTGGGTGTAGACAATGTAGCAATTTTATTGTAAATCTAGAGTAGCGGTTCTCAACCTTCTTAATGCTGCGACTCTTTTTTTTTTTTTTTTTTTTTTTTGGTTTTTACGCGACAGGGTTTCTCTGTATTGTTTTGGAGGCTGTCGGTCCAGCCCAGCCTCGAACTCACAGAGATCCGCCTGCCTCTGCCATCTGAGTGTTGGGATTTAAGGCGTGCGCCACCACCGCCCGGCTAATGCTGCGACTCTTTAATACAGTTCCTCATGTGGTGATGACTCCCAGCCATAAAATTATCTTCCTTGCTATTCCATAACTGTAATTTTGCTACAGGGTATCTGATACGCAGCTACTCGAGGCTGTTTACAGAGGGGCTGGAAAGATCTCGGCACCTAAGAGCCCTGGCTGCTCTTTGAGAGGACCCGGATCCAGTCCAGACGACTCTGCCTTGGCTCCCAGAAACCACAAGGCCACTCACAGCCATTTCCATGGAATCTGGTGCCCTCTTGAGGCTTCCATAGGAACTGCACTCAACTGCATGGGCTTGCGCGCGCAGAGTCAGGCGGGGGGGGGGGGGTAAATTGCTTCCTTTGCAAGCTTCAGGGTCTGAGTTCCAGCTCCAGCACCCACATAAAAAAAGTCACGTGCCGTAATGCACGTTTGTGACCCCTAGACTGGAGAGGTGGGAACAGGTGGATCCCTGGGGCTGGCTGGCTAGTCAGCCTAGCTGATTTGCAAGCTACAGGCCAGTAAGAGGCCCTGTTAAACAATATAAATACTAAAGGCAGATAGCCAGGCATGGTGACACACACCATTAATCCTGCGCTCAGAATGCAGAGGCAGACCTATCCCTGAGTTACAGGACAGCCAGGGTTACGTAGGGAGACCCTGCCTCAGAAATAAACAAATAAATGTCAACACGTGTCATAAACATTTAGACGATGAAAGAGTAAGAAGCAAACCAGTGATATCAGAGGGCAAATGCTTATGGGAGAAGGGGTTGGTTTCTTCCCCGGGACTGGATCTTGAAACGACGGCACCAACCACCTTGGCACCAACCACCTTGGCACCAACCACCTTGGCACCCATCCGAGGTGGGTACCAGTGTGTGGAGAGGGAGACCGGCTAAGGAGCAGACAGACTGAGCCGCGTCTGGTGCCGAAGACAAACCAGGCAGCCCAGACCCCGTCAGCCTGTCTTCGCCACCGGGCTTTCAGCTCTGGGTGGTTGGGGCGCTTGAAAACCACAGGTTTTTTTCCAAAATGTTGATTTTGCATGTGTCACACGTGTGGCAGTCAGAGGACAACTCGTGGGGGTCTGGTTCTCTCCTTTCACCATCTGGGTCCCAGGAACTGAATCCAGGTCCTCATGCTTGGTGGCCAAGTGCCTTTACCCGCTGATCCAATTCGATGGTCCCCAACATGTGACATCTCACATGAAGTTATTTTTCAAGGTGGGTGGTGGTTCTGCATGCCTTTACTGTCAGCACTCGGGAGGCGGTGGCAGGCGGATCTCACCAGCCTGGTCTACAGAGCGAGCTCCAGGACAGCCAGGGCTGCTACATGAACCCATGAGAGTCTGTTAAAGGGTCTCAATAATTTATTTAGGTGTAAGATAGTAGGATAGACACTCACTGGTACAGAACACAACAGATTAGACGCTGCCGCAATCCAGATGCTGTGTCCTGAGGTTCTGCCCAGGGACCGACAGCTCCTTGCTCTGTCCTGGATGGTTCACACAGAGAGAAAGAGAGACAGAGAGAGAGAGAGAGAGAGAGACAGAGAGAGACAGACAGACAGACAGACAGAGAGACAGAGAGACAGAGAGACAGAGACAGAGACACAGAGACACAGAGAGAGAGAGAGAGAGAGAGAAAGAGAGAGAGAGAGAGAGAGAGAGAGCAGTCAATGCTCTTAAGCCGCTGAGCTATCTCTCCAGCCCTTCCTTCTCCCTTAGCTCGTAAGCGTCGTGTATGCAGACAAGACCTTGCAAGCCCTAGGGCTTGCTGACCCAAAAGTCACTGGGTGAATGGACCAAAATCCCACAACACAGGGCTACCCAGAAAAACCCTGTCTCAAAAAAACCTAAAACCAAAACCAACAACAACAATAAAAAAAGTCTTTCGTTTTCCAGTTTGAACCACTTCCTGAATCTTGTGCCAGGAGCAAACAACTTGGAGAAGAATTTTTTTTCTCCCCCAAGGCTTTTCTTGTTTAAAATCTCAATTCCTTTTTTCTGAGACAGGTGTAAAAAATGGACTCTACCTCCAGGTGAAGATGTGCCCTGAACTCTGCCTGCCCATAAGGATCCAGTGTGGCAGGTCCTGGACCTAGGGGGACTGCCCCGTTGACGGGGGCTTCACTTTCAGATTACATGCTTTTCTTCCCAGAATTCCCCACCCTCGACACTGCCTGTGTAGTTTCTATGAGGGGCTTGAGGGGTTTGCTTGGTCTGTCCACCTTTCTGAGGCAGGATTCTCAAGGCTGTAACTTATCTCTGCTCCCGTATTCTTTTCTCTTTTCTTTTCCCTTCTTCTTCTTTTTTATTTGTTTGTTTTTATTTTTTAAAGATTTATTTATTTATTTATTACATATACAGTGTTCTGCCTACATACCAAAAGAGGGCACCAGATTGAATTGTAAATGGTTGAGAGCCACCCATGTGGTTGCTGGGAATTGAACTCAGGACCTCTGGAAGAGCAGTCACTGCACTTAACCTCTGAGCCATCTCTCCAGCCCTTGTTTTTATTTTTTGAGACAAGGTTTCTCTGGCTGTCCTGGAACTCCATCTGTAGACCAGGCTGGCCTCTAACTCAGACATCCACCTGCCTCTGCCTCCAAGTGTTAGGATCGCAAGCAAGTGTCACCACTGCCTGACTTGCACACAACCTTTTAAGTGACAGCAGTTTGATAAGGTGCCTGGAGCTATCCACTCACCAGAGCTAGCGGCCCCTTCTCTCTCCCTCACTGTGGAGTCTCTCCGGCTTTGTCAGCTCGTACCCCTCTTCTCCGGCCCTTACAGTCTCTCAGCTGTCTCTGGGAAGCAGGATCTGAGTTCACAGGCCTTTTACAAGTGTCTCCTGGAGGACTGGAGAGACGATGGCTCAGCTGCTCTTCCAGAGGAGTTTGGTTCCCCACGGGGCAGCTCACAACCAAAAAAAATTTTTTTGGTTTTTCGAGACAGGGTTTCTCTGTGGCTTTGGAGGCTGTCCTGGAACTTGCTTGGTAGTCCAGGCTGGTCTCCAACTCACAGAGATCCGCCTGCCTCTGCCTCCCGAGTGCTGGGATTAAAGGCGTGCGCCGCCAACGCCCGGCCTCACAACCAAGTTTAATCTGGGTGTTAGAGGATCCGACACCTTCTTCTGACCGTGGGCACCAGGCGTACCTGTGGTGCACACACATTCAAACAGGCAAAACAGATAAATAAGTCTAGCACAAGGTTTTGTGGCGTTGGCAATGGAACCCGTCCTTCACATAAGCGGAGCGTGCGTCTACCCCAAAGGCCTTTTGCTTGCGAGAGTACAGGAAGAACAAAGGCCCTTGGGCTCACAGATAAGCACTAGGGAAACCGGAAATGTTAAAGGTACAGGCTTGTCTCTTCAGCAGCAGAGATGTCTTGTCTGTTTTCTGCCCAGAAGGCCAGCAATGGAGATGGCTAACAGTCTAGGTAACCTTTGCACTATCTGTCTGGCCAGGGGCTTCCCCAGGCAGAGCTGGAGGTGGCTAACACGGCCTAGATAACCTCTGCACTGTCTGTGATGACAACAGGCCCTCCCCCTAGGCCCTTAAGGTAACACATGCAGGCTGTGTACCAGGGTTCTAGACCTTAGCGGTCACTCAGCCGCTGGAGCTCGGGGCTCCCCGTCGTACTGCAGCTGACTGGAACCCGGAGCCCTCCTGAGTCACGAGAATCCACTGCCCTTCCCACCACCTGGGGTCGGCTGAATGCACACAGCTGCATCTGATGCAACACTGGCCGTTGCCAGGGAGGGCTGGCTGGGGTCTGCCACCGCAGCCTGAGCGAGGGCTAGCTTTTGGTTTGCTTGGTGTTCCCTCAGAGTGGGAACGCTGGTGGAGTCACTGTATCCAGGAAATAGCTGCTTTCACGGTATCTAGGGCAAGCATCTGTGGGCTCCCCAACAGTGACAAGGAGACTTACTATCGTTATGCCCGTGTCGTGAGCCCCCGGGAGACCAGCAGGAGTCCGAGTTCCCAGGCAAAAGCAAAGAATCTTTATTGCGAGCTTGAGCTTGGGCTCTCTCTCCGTCGATTCCGACTCAGCGGTTGGATCAGGGAGAGCCTTGAGCTCAGCTGAGGCAGGGTTTTTAAGGAGTAAAGGGGGGGTTGGGGTAGGGGAATTCCAGTCTCAGATGGGGGTGAATCCCTGATTGGCAGGAGTGAGGAAACAGAAGTCTTGTCAAACAGGGATCGATACTAGCATTGCTATAAGGAAACTGGAAACCTATGTACCAGTTAGGTAAGCTATTCTTTTGTTTTTGTTTTTTTGTTTTTTGTTTTTTCGAGACAGGGTTTCTCTGTATTGTTTTGGAGGCTGTCCTGGAACTCGCTCTGTAGACCAGGCTGGCCTCGAACTCACAGAGATCCTCCTGCCTCTGCCTCCCGAGTGTCTTCCTTGTTCTCTAACAGGCTGGTGCACCCACTTTCTTCTTCCCAGCGTCCTCTGTGCCTGGAAATCCTGTCAAAGCCATTGGCCGTCAGCTTTGTATTAAACCAATCAGAGCGACACATCTTCACCGTGAACAAAAAGATCATTCCACAACAAACATCAGAATGAACAGTTGTTTTCTAGATATGCTTAGACCTTGAAGAAATCATAGAAAAGACAGCGATTGCTCTCTGTTACCTATAGAGTTGTCTTTCCGAAAAAGCCTTACAGTCTTTGCATGACTTTAGTCACAAAACTGTCCTGGCACCCCCTGGACATCTTGAATTTTTGGGTACTGCAAACAGTACACAAAAAGGACTAAGGTTTTGGGGAGTGTGATGATTTCCTTCAGAAAACATATAGATTGGATCAGGGGCTTTGGAGTGAGGAATTTGTTTTATGCAAAAAAAACAAAAACAAAACAAACAAACCAAAAACCCGGGGTGTAACAATCACCCGACACGCCTTTGCTGGGTTGTTCCAGGTTTAGTCTACAGAAGCTGTCCCTCCCTGCTGCCACAGAGCCTGAATGCTGTCTTGGAGTCACCTGTCACCTGTTGTATGACATTTTGTTTGTGTTCTGACAAGTAAAGCTCCCCTGGAGATCAGAGGGCGGAGCTGGCCACTAGTTACCACAGAGGCCAGGCGGTGGTGGCGGTGGTGGCTCAGGCCTTTAATCCCAGCAGTCAGGAGGCGGGGAGAGGAGGTGATGGGGGGTGTGTGCAGAGACGGGATCTGGGCTTTTTGGACTAGGGAAGGAGACAGGCAGGAAGCTACTGCAGGCTGCTCCTGGCTCTCTGATCTCCCAGCTTCTTACCCCATATTTGACTCCCTTTTTGTTTGTTTGTTTTTCGACCTATTTTTTGTTTTATTGTTTTGGCTGTTGGAGACAGGGTTTCTCTGTGTGGTTTTGTAGACCAAGCTGCCCTCGAACTTACAGAGATCTGCCTGCCTCTGCCTCCCGGGTGCTGGGATTAAAGGTGTCCACCTGGTGACTCCTGGTTTTTATTGACCTCCTTTCTTTGAATGTCCCAAGTGAAAAGTTTCTATACCCCAATAAGCCTCTCCGCCAATGCAGCAATCCCAATCAGACCAAATCAAACCGAGTTAGAAAAAGCCCACGTTTAATGGACACAGCGTTCCTGGATGGCCTTCCAATTCCCCAGAGAGGAGATGGGAAAGGGGGGGCCAGAAAAACCACTGTCTATTTTCTGGGGTGGCAGTTTAAATATCCCATGGGAGTGGCCTTGAGCATCTCTGGGGGAGGGGCCATCATTTGGGGGTGGAGCTTTCTGAGCTGCAGCAGGGTTTGGAGGGAGATGGGGGAGGGGGCTTGGGTGGAACCTCCACCAGAACATCCCAGACTCTTTGGGTATCTGGATGCCAGGGCCTGGGGTGAAACCTCCACCGTAACACCAAGCAACACAGAGCACCTACACCCTCACAGTGTCTACAACCCAATGTAGATTGTGCAATGGTCCCTTCCTGGAGGAAAAGCTAAAACAGGCCCAGCTTCTGGTACAGGAACAGGGACAACAGGGACATGAAGCCCCTGAGTGGATGCTGATTGGCTTTCCTGAGGTACTGGCCGTTCATTGTGTGGCTGGCATTATCTTCTAAATGAGTGTTTTTAACTTTCATGACAAATAAACTAAAAACAAAATTTAAAACTTTGGGCCATGTCAGTTGGGGCAAGCTCTTAGCCGCCTGTCACTACTGAGGACTTGGCTCTGCTCTCTAAGTTGCTCTGCCGATATTCTGAGTTAAATTCTGTAAGGAACGAAAGACCTGAAGCCAAGCGGGCAGTTAGCTTGGTAAACAATGCAGCCGCTGAAGCAGAAGCTCCCTTACTTCCTCATCAGTTACTTATCCTTCCTTTCTGTATGGCTGGAAGCTCCCCCAAGCAGGACCAGAGGTAGCAAATAAATAGCCCGGATGTCCTCTGCACTATCCGTGTGACTGAGGTCACCTCAAGCAGATTGGCCCCTCTGCCCTTAAGATAACACATGTAGTCTACCTACAGAGCCCATATTCGTGGAAGACGCGTGTAGTGGCATCTCGATTTGTTAGTGAGCTTTCGATAGAGGCCACGCCCTATGGGCGTGGCTTCAGGTGATCAGCTGTGACCCTTTATAAGGAAGAGGAGGGGCTGGCTGGACTCTTGGGTTGTGGTCAGAGCATCTGAAGGGCAGAGACTGCATCGTCTGGAGCAGGAAGACCGTGGTAGTTATTTGCTATTAATTGTGTAAGTGCTTCCTTAATAAATACCTGCTAATCGTTTATCTTGGGTCTGGTGGACTCATTTAAACCATGCCTTCAAAACACCACATGTACTTTGAGGGTTTCAATGTAATTGTCTCCCTGTGCACACGGAGTTATGTTGTACCAGGAAACTTTTCCCCAAATTGTCCTGTACATAGATATGCCTAAAATAAGCTATGCAATGTCAGACTCTAGAAGTTTGAACCAACACCAGCTACCTGATGGGGGAGGTCCTTCTGTATACACTTCTCTTATTGGTGGATGAATAAAACACTGGCCAATAGAGGCAGGGAGATAGGTGGGATTAAGAGGTGAGGAGAATTCTGGGAAGTATAGGGCAGACAGCAGAAGCCACATGAGACTGGAAGGTAGAATGCGTGCCGGATCCTTCTCAGGTAAGATAAGACCACGTGAAAATACTTAGATTAATAGAAATGGGTTAATAATTAAGACAGAGCTAGCCAATAAGAAGCCCAAGTCACTGGCCAACAGTTTCATAATTGCTAGAGCGTCTGTGTGTTTATTTATTGAGAAACTCTGCAACAGCCACCAAGTTATGTTGAGCCGATTCCTTCCTGCCTCCCTGGACTCTGCACGCCCTGGGGTTTGCAGAGACCCCCATATGAGAGTGTGGTGCCCTCCTGTTTGTGTGTGTAGTACGGGCACACATATCTGTGAAAGCATGCTTTTTACATGTGTGCTGGGACCTGAATCAGGTCCTCATGCCCAGGTCTTTGAAAGTGTCATCTGCAGCCTCATTTGAGCGATTATCATGCTTCCTGGTGCTGCACAGCTCCAGAGACCCCAGCATTTTTCATAGATGAGTTAAAAACCTGTCAGTCCCAGATAACCCACAGCAGGACCTCTCAAGACACAGGTTTGGGGCAAAGGTTGCTGGAGCTGACAGGCACCCACAAGTTCTGCCTGTGCACCTGTAAATCTGGCACTTGGAAGATGAGGGCAGGAGAACTAGGAGTTCAAGGTTAGCCTCAGCTACACAGTGACTTCAAGGGCAACCTAGGCTACAATGTATGCAGCTACAGCCAACTGATCTTTTTATTTCATTTTTGTTTGTTTGTTTTGTTTTTGGGGAGACAGGGTTTCTCTGTGTAGCCCTGGCTGTCCTGGAACTCACTCTGTAGATCAGGCTGCTTCTGCCTCCCAGTGCTGGGATTAAAGGTGTGCGCCACCACTGCTGGCTAATGATTACTTGGTTTTATAAAGATGTTAAAAAAATAAACACTGGAGAAAAGACAGCTCCTTCAACAAACGGTGTTGGGGAAACAGGATGTCCGTCCATGGAAACAATGAAACTCAACCCCTACGTCCCACCTTGAACAAAAATCAAACCTAATCGCATCATAGACCTTAATGTAAGTGCGGGATTGGGAACTGTTGAGGAGACTGTAGGAAAAACACTGCAAGGTCTGGGTGCACAGTGTGTGGTGGCCACGCCTTTAATCCCAGCACTCAGGAGGCAGAGGCAGGAGGATCTCTGTGAGTTTGAGGATAGCCAAACCTACACAGAGACCCCACTTCAAAGAAAGAAAGAAAAACTAAACAAGAACAACCCATTCAATAAATGGGCTCACAAAATGAGTATCAGTTCTCAAAAGATGGAGTACAAATGGCAATACAGATACATCTGTCTTAGGGTTGCTATTGCTGTGAAGAGACTTCTAAAGAAACTTTAAAAAAAAAGATTTTATTTATTACATATACAGTGTTCTACTGCATGTTTGCCTGCATGCCTGAAGAGGGCGCCAGATCTCATTTTTGGATGGTTGCTGGTGACCTCAGGAAGGGCAGACAGTGCTCTTAACCTCTGAGCCATCTCTCCAGCCCCATAGAGAAACACTTAATTGGAGCTGGCTTACAGTTTCAGAGGTGTAGCTCACTGTCACTGTGGCAGGAAGCATGGCGGCATGAAGGGGCGGAGAGAGAAACCCGAGAGCTCTACATCTGCAGACAACAGGACACTGGACCTGACCTGAGCATTTGAAACTTCAAAGCCCGGCCCCAGTGACACACCCACTCCAACTGGTACTGGTTGTTTTATTACTCTTCACTCTTTGGTCTTTTGGACGCCTGCCACCCAGCTCCCAAATAAACACATGGAGACTTATTATTACTTATAAATGGCTGGCCTTAGCTTGGCTTGGTTTTAGCTCGCTTTGTTTAACTTAAATTATCCTGTCTACCTTTTACCTCTGGGCCTTTCCTTTTCTTATTTCTATATACGTTTCTTTCACTCTTACTCCATGGCTGGCTGGGTAGCCGGCCCCTCTCTCCCCAGATTTCTCCCCCAATTTATTCTCTCTGCCTGCCAGCCCCTCCCATCCTTTCTCCTGCCCAGCCATTGGCCGTTCAGCTCTTTATTTACCCAACCAGGTGTTTTAGACAGGCACAGCAGGCACAGTAACACAGCTTCACAGAGTTTTTAAAAAATGTAACACATCTTTGCATCATTAAACAAATATTCACAGCATAAACAAATGCAGTACATCTTAACACCAGCAAATCCATATTTCCTAATAGTGCCACTCCCTATGAGCCCGTAGGGGTCCTTTCCAACCAAACTACCACAATGTCCGACCTCATTAGCCTGAGTCGAATGCAGGTTAAAGATAGATCCATCGACGGGCCAGGTGGCGGTGGTGGCACGTGCCTTTGATCCTAGTGTTTAACACACACACAACACTCACACACTCACTCACATGCACACTCACTCACACACACTGTTGAGATTCTACCCCACCCCAGTCAGAACAGCAGTCATCAAGAAAACAACGCACAGTGAAGGATGGAGGACGTCAGTACACAACTTCCTCCAAAGCCAGAATACGCAGACCGTAAGACCTGGCTCTGCCGTTCCTGGGGGTTTATTTACCCAGGAACCTCCAGGTCAACGAGTCACAGAGAGAACTGCATGCGGGTGTTTACTGCGGCATGGGCACAATAACTCAGATACGGGACCACCCTCGTGTGCGTCCAAGGGGAAAGGGAAGATGTTTCTTCAGCCACAGAGAAGAGCAAACTTAACATCATTTGCAAGAAAATGGATACGACTGGAAAGAATCACATTAAATAAGGTGAGTCAGCCTCAGAGAGACAAATACATTCTTTCATTTGTGGCTCACAGATTTTTATACAGTTAAATAAAACAATGTCTACAGTTAAGACATAAATCAGAATGGTGTCTGGGGAGAATTAAGGAGGCTAATGGGCTGAGAGATAAGAGAAGAGAACAGGGGGCCGAGAACTTTTAAACTTGAAAGCAAATAAATTAAAATAAATTAGTAATCACCCTTGGTTACATAGTAAGTTTGAGGCTAGCCTGGGCTATATGAAACTCTTAAGTTAAAATAAATTAGTAAGATCATTCTTGGTTACAAAGTAAGTTTGAGGCTAGCCTGGGTGGGCTATATGAAACTGTCTCAAAAATATATACAAAGCTATATAGTTTTTAATAAATATATATTTTTCTTTACTTCATCAAAGAGGAGATTAAGGAGGCTGTAAGTTTGAGGCTAGCCTGGGCTACATAAAACTCTGTCTCAATAATATACATACAAAACTATATAGCGTTTTATAAATACATGTATTTTTCTTCACTTCATCAAAAAGGAGACGGAGAAGGGTGTGGTGGCACACGCTTCTAACTCCAGCACTTGGGAGGTAGAGGCAGACGGATCTCTGTGAGTTCGAGCCCAGCCTGGGTTACACAGCGAGACCTCAAGTAAGGGCTGAGCCTTGAAAGACCCCAGTGATGAAGAGATTCTGAGGTTGAATCTCAGTGGCCGAAGACTTGCAGCTCCTTGAACATTCTACAGGGCCCAACACGAGGTAGAGGGTTTCTCACCCACGGGGAGACTCCAGCTGTTGGCCCAGCTCCTGAACATCTCAAAGCCTGTTTGTAAGCGTGGACGGGGGCTTCGCTCTGTAGTCCAGGCCACTCACGCTTGCTGGGATGACAGCTGTGGGCCACCACGCTGGGCTTGGCAGGTGCTTTCTGACAATGAAGGATTTGCCAGGGTCCCAGGAGACCCCCAAGCTTTGGGGTCACCACATTGGGTGGCCAGTCTCTCTGGAGGCTTCTCCATCTATCTTCATGGGGTTCCAGCTGTTGAGGCTTCAAGCTCCTTGGTTTTGGCCCCTCGCGTTATTCATCTCTATGTCCTCTGCAGAGTTGACGTTGCTGTTCACAGGTGAATACTAGATGGGGGGGGCATTGAGCATTAAACGTCAGTCGAGGCCTTTCTCAGATAAACAACCTTCTTCCCAGTGAAGTGTTCAGCGAGCAGGCCCGCAGGGCCCCTAAGTGGAGATCGGCGTGCCGCATAACCTCAGCGCTGTGAGGCAGGAGGATCACCTAGGCTAACCTAGGCCACACAGTGAGACGCTGTCTCACAAAACTGAGAGACTGAGATGCAATGGTACTCGACTGTAATCCCACTATTGGGAAGATAGAAGCAGGCAGACAGAGAGTTCAAGGCCCGCCTTGGCTAGACAAGGAGTTTGATCTCAAAACGCTAAAAAGAACAGGGGCTGGCCGGGCGTTGGTGGCGCATGCCTTTAATCCCAGCACTCGGGAGGCAGAGGCAGGCGGATCTCTGTGAGTTCGAGGCCAGCCTGGTCTACGAAGTGAGTTCCAGGACAGCCTCCAAAGCCACAGAGAAACCCTGTCTCGAAAAACCAAAAAAAAAAAAAAAAAAAAAAAAAAAAAGAACAGGGGCTGGAGAGGTGGCTCAGAGGTTAAGAGTACTGGGTCCTGAGTTCAATTCCAAACAACCACATGGTGGCTCACAACCGTGTGTGTGTGAGTGTGTGTGAGTGTGTGTGTGTTCATGGTCCCAATATACCCTCTAGAGACACACCCAGCATAACCCAGCCTCCTCCCTCCAGACCCCACGCCCTCCCAGTGGTGCACAGGCTGGGGTCCTGGAAAGCCCCCGACTCCTGATTCCATGCTGCAGCTAACGGCCCCGGTCCTCTAGAGAGAGCCCAAGAAAACAGGTCTGTGGTCCACTCGGACCCCTTGTCTTCCTCCTGGAGTCTCTGCACTCACCTCAGTGTCTGAGGGCTTGGGCCTGGATCTCCGGGATCGAACTGGAGAAACAAAGAGACTTTGTCAGAAAGAAAGAGACTCTGGGGATCTCGGAAAGAGGGCATCTGAGACTCTGGGGATCGCAGCAGCAGGGCGTCTGAAGGCTGTCAGTTCCCTGCGGCCTCTGCTTTGATGCAGGACGGGGAAGAGCCAGGTGTGGTGGCACACACTTTAGAGTAGACCGGTATCTAAGGTCATCTCGGGTTACATATAGAATTTGAGACAACTTAGGTTTACAGGAGACCGAGTCTCAAAAAAAAAAAAAAAGGCTGGGCGTTGGTGGGGTTTGGCTCAGTGGTAGAGCCCCTGCCTAGAATCCCCCAGTGAGGGGCTGGGGCGTGGCTCAGTGGTGGAGCCCCTGCCTAGAATCCCCCAGTGAGGGGCTGGGGTGTGGCTCAGTGGTGGAGCTCCTGCCTAGAATCCCCCAGGGAGGGGCTGGGGCGTGGCTCAGTGGTAGAGCCCCTGCCTAGAATCCCCCAGTGAGGGGCTGGGGTGTGGCTCAGTGGTGGAGCTCCTGCCTAGAATCCCCCAGGGAGGGGCTGGGGCGTGGCTCAGTGGTGGAGCTCCTGCCTAGAATCCCCCAGTGAGGGGCTGGGGCGTGGCTCAGTGGTGGAGCCCTGCCTAGAATCCCCCAGTGAGGGGCTGGGGTGTGGCTCAGTGGTGGAGCTCCTGCCTAGAATCCCCCAGTGAGGGGCTGGGGCGTGGCTCAGTGGTGGAGCCCTGCCTAGAATCCCCCAGGGAGGGGCTGGGGCGTGGCTCAGTGGTGGAGCCCTGCCTAGAATCCCCCAGTGAGGGGCTGGGGCGTGGCTCAGTGGTGGAGCCCTGCCTAGAATCCCCCAGGGAGGGGCTGGGGCGTGGCTCAGTGGTGGAGCTCCTGTTTAACACACACAAAGCCCTGGATTCTATCTCCAGTACTTTCAAACCAAAACCAAAGCAAAACACTAAGACCTCCTGGCTGTACTGTGGGGGAAACTCCACAGTCTGGGGACGAGTGCCTGTGGGTGCTCAGGACCAAGGCTGCACATAGTGGGGACTCCTTTGCAGTGGCCCTGGCAAGCGGGTGGGGGAACATACAGAGGAAGAGACTCACCACACCACAGGACTACCGCTGGTACGGAAACCACGCAGATGATGCCGACGATGACGCCGACGATGGCGCCCGCGCTGAAGCCCGACTGCTCAGGGTCTGGAAGAGGGACGAGCGGGTAAGGAGTGACCAGCACCTCTGAAGCAACACCCCACGCTTCCTGCGGGGAACCCCATCTCCCAGCGTACAGTGTCAGGGCTTCACCACATTTTAAGATTCCTACAGTGGGATGCTTGTTTGTTTTGAGATGGGGGCTCCCGTAGCCCAGGCTGGCCCAAACTTGCCCTGTAGCCAAGGATAGCCCTATATGCCCATTTCTCCCCTTCCCCCCTCAAATAGGTCACTGGGGTGCTGCAGTTCTAACGCAGGGTCTCCGACTTCTTTTCCTCTCTCTCTCTCTCTCTCTCTCTCTCTCTCTCTCTCTCTCTCTCTCTCTCTCTCTCTCTCTCTCTTTCTTTCTTTCTTCTCTGGCCTGGTCAGTCAGGACATCCCATTCTCCCTGGCTGCTGTTATTGGTTCAGATGTCAAATGTGACGAACATGGGGGCCAATGAGAGGCTACTGAATGCAGCTACTGAATGAATTTTCCCTCTGAGATTTATAAAATGTGGAGTGCGGTGTCTTAGAAAACCCATCTTGACTCCCCAGGGGAAGACCCTGCCTGATATTTAACCCAGCACTTGGAAGGCAAAGTTAGGCAATGTGACATTAAAAAAAAAATAAGATGTGATTAAACGAGAGTAGTTCTCACTCCATAGCCCAGGCTGGCCCCAAAGTGTCTTCATCACCATTCAGCCTTCCAAGTACTGAGATTACAGTCATGCACCCCCACACTGGCTTCCGAGATAAGAGACGCAAAGGGAATTCCGGGGTGACGTGGGTCTACCACCTGGATCTAACCACAACTAAATCTGCGCTTTTTTTTTTTTTTTTGGTTTTACGAGACAGGGTTTCTCTGTATTGTTTTGGAGGCTGTCGTCCAGCCCGGCCTTGAACTCACAGAGATCCGCCTACCTCTGCCTCCCAAGTGCTGGGATTAAAGGCGTGCGCCACCACCGCCCGGCTAAATCTGCGCTTTCAACAAATTATTTTTCCGATTAAAAATCACAGTTATCTATGTGTGTGCGCTTGCATGTGTGCGGACTCGTGCCTGCCGTGGAGGGTGTGACTGGAGGTTGGAAGACAACTTGTGGAGGTCTGTCTCTCCTTCCACTGTGTGAGCCAGGGATTGAACGAAGGCCATCACGGTCCGCAGCAAGCACCTTTGGCCTGAGTCACCCTGCGCCGCCTGCCCTCCCCTTCCAGACTGACTTTGCTCCGTGGCAGCTGGCAGAGTTATGTCCAATACGCTCGGGAATCCTTAGACAGACCCCAGACCTGCCCCAGCGGATGCAATCTGTGACCTATGACCTGCTATTATTTCAGTCACCCCCCCTAGATCCCACGCCCGCGGGGGAGGGGCATCCTGCTGTGCCCACCCCTCCTGTCTGATGACATCTCACCTTTAACGTAGATGATTTGTTGGGCCTGCCCGGACCCCAAGGCATTGGTGGCATTGCAGATGAAGGTCACATTATGGAGACCCGCCTTGTCCACAGTGTTGATTACCAGCCGATTGCCCTGGGGCTCGGTGGCATTGGGCAGAGGACCTGTGGCCCTGGGGGAGACAGGATGGTGAGCAGGCGGCCTCTGCTGATGAGGCATCCACGGTGCAGCAGGGACACAGACCGTTCTGGTCACATATAGGCTAGCAGACAACCAAGCCTGTGTCTTCATGCTTCCAGGCTCTGGCTGCGGATTCGCCCCTGGCTGTTCCCCATACGGCCACCAGAGGGCGCGCACGAACCCAATTCCACTTCTAGGGCTCCCCAGAGCCAGGCCTCAAGCCGAGCAAACTGCAGGCCCCTCCTTTACCAGCGCCCTCAGCACCCGTGCCGTGAAAGCCCCGCTCCACGCACCAACACCCCATTTAGGCCTTTGCAGAAGCAACAGCTGATGGACAGAAATGCATTTGCAAGTGTCGTTCTCTCCACTCGCAGAGCCCTTCCTCCGCGTGAAGAGCTCTGCCTGACCTTCCTGGAGTCCGCCCCACTGCTTCTGTGGCAAAGCAACCCGTTTCCCTACTCCCCAACTTGTTTTATCTATCCCAGACATTTCCCAGACACGCTCTATGACTGTCTTGTTTGGATGGCAGAGCGCTTAGAGAGGGACTTTGGGCAACCTTATGCACCGGGGTTGGAGGGTGAGCCCCGAGAAAACATCCAAGCAGGCAGGAGGAGGGCTTGGAAGGGTGGAGGTCTGAGCGCTCTGCCGAGCTGAGGAGGAGGCACAGCCATCATCCCGCTTGACAGCCTAGAGTGGCACTTGGATAGGGGTATTTGGCACAGAAGAGTAGTCGGCTCTTTTATGTTCGTTTCGTGTTGTTTCTGATGCGAGGTCTTGCTCTGTAGCCAAGAGTGGCATGGAACCAGAAATCCCCCTGCCCCAGTCACTCAAGTACTGAGATTACAAACATGTACCACCATGCCGTGTCCCCTCCCCCTTTTTCTTTTGTGTTGAGGCTAGAATCCATACCAGATAATCATTAACCAAGGAGCCACGCCCCTGCCCCTCACTAGGGAATTCTAGGCAGAGGCTCTACCACTGAGCCACACCCCTGCCCCTCACTGGGGGATTCTAGGCAGGGCTCTACCACTGAGCCACACCCCAGCCCCTTACTGGGGGATTACTGGAAGGTGCTCTATAAAAATAGTCACCTATTCCACAATTTGAACTGGTTTGTTTTATTTTTAGAAAGACTCTCACCATGTAGTTCTGGCTGGCCTAGAATTTGCTTTGAAGTTCAGGCTGACCTTGAACTCATAGAGACACACTTGCCTCTGCCTGTGGAGTGCTGGGATTAAAATCATGCACCACTACACTTGGTCCTAAGGACTGGGTAAATAATTGATGACACATACAGAGTACAATCTATTCCAGAACAATACAGAGAAACCCTGTCTCGGGGAAAAACTAAACAAAACAAACAAACAAAAAAAGAATACAATCTAACGACATTAAAACATGGACAGGGTCTGGTGGTGACTTTAGGAATCCTAGCAAGCAGGAGCCTGAGGCAAAAGAATTGCCAATCCCTGGACCTCGGGAGCATGGAGCAGGAGGACTGCAGCAAGTTCTAGACCAGCCATGTTGAGGTCTCCATAAAGAGACTGTCTCAAAAGGCCAAAAACGGGGGTCTGAGGACCTGAGTTCACCTCCAGGACACACATGTTGGAAAGAGAGAACCAATTCCTGCAAGTCGCCCTCAGATCTCCACATGTACACGGTGGCACTGGGGGCCTACTCCCCACAAAACAAATGAATAAATGTAATAATTTTTCAAAATACCAAATTAGATGAAGTGAAATAATAGTGGGAGAATCCATGGGGTTGGATTTTGTTTTTTGGGTTTTTTTTTTTGAGCATTCATTTGGAAAATTCCTATGAGTGTATATTTTGAAATTTTCTCTTCCAAGGTGTTGGAGGAAACAGGGTTGTGAAACCATGTACTTTTAAAATATTTCTTAGATGGAGTGAAAGGTGTGGAAACTGCCCCTGGGGGGGGGGAAATTACAGTTGTTGAGGACCAGAGAAAAAGGCAGAAGTGTGTGTGTGTGTGTGTGTGAGAGAGAGAGAGAGAGAGACAGAGAGAGAGAGAGACAGAGACAGAGAGAGAGAGAGAGAGAGAGAGAGAGAGAGAGAGAGAGAGAGAGAGAGAGAGAGAGAAACCAAAACCAGTAGTAGCAGCAGCTGCTTTGGGAGGTAGGTGGCTATACCTGAGTACACACACTGTTTTTGCTTCCAATGGAACTGTTTGAAAGTTCTAGAAAGGTTGAGCCAAATTATTTTTCAAAATAAAAAGAAGCTGAATAAAAATTATGCTATTTACACATTTTGGCTGGGGGCTGAGGGTGTGGCTCAGTGGTAGAGCCCCTGCCTAGAATCTCCCAGTGAGGGGCTGGGAGTGTGGTTCAGTGGTAGAGCCCCTGCCTAGAATCCCCCAGTGAGGGGCTGGGGGCATGGCCCAGTAGTAAAGTGTTTTCCTAGTGTATATGAGGCTCTGGATTCCAGTTTAGCCTGAAAAACAAAATCACCTTTTCCTTTTTCCATTGGTGTTTTGCCTGCACGTATGTCCATGTGAGGGTGTCATAAATAGGGTTGAGGTCTTCATTGATGTGGGAGCTGGGGTTCAGCCTCAGGTGCCCATGTTTATACAGCAAGCCCTTTCCCCTAAGAAATCTCTCGGCACGCCTTCCCTTTCTTATACCCTCAGCCTCCAAATCAACTCTTCTCACAGCCCCTAGACTAACTTCCTCATCTGTGCGCTGGGAGGGCCGGCAAGGTTCAGGGGCGGAGGGGCGGGGCAGCTGCGATGATTGGCAGACCAGGATCTGAAGCGAAAGGGGCGGGGCGCCAGGAACCAATCCCTGGGGATGAAGGCGGGCGTCTCTGATTTGCTTCTGGGGTGCGGGTCCTCCTCGCACAGGGACTTGCCAGGATTAAGTCATTGTCCCAGCCTTTGGGACCTTTAACCTGCACTGGGAAGGGGAATCCCGAAGAAGCGTGTGGTGTAAAAAAAAAAAAAAATCCCAGGAGCCCTAGTGACCACAGCCTGGATGAACTCACCTCAGAAAATCCCCAATCACGATTCGAAAGTTTTACTGGGGAATATGAGGTGATTCTACCTGTTTTGATTTTATTTTTAAAATGTATTCATATTTTATGTTCACTGGTGTTTTGCCTGTATGTATGCTTGTGTGAGGGTCTCAGAACCCTTGGGACTGGAGTTACAGACTGTTGTGAACTACCATGCAGGTGCTGGGGATTGAACCCAGAGCCTCTGGAAGAGCAGCCAGGGCTCCTAACCTCTGAGCCATCTCTCCAGCCTCTGTTTATTTATTTTTGAGACAGGGTCTCACTATGTAACCCTGGCTGTCCTGAACTCGCTCTGTAGACCAGGCTGGCCTCGAACTCACAGAGATCTGCCTGCCTCTGCCTCCCGAGTGCTGGGATTAAAGGCGTGCGCCACCACCAGACCCAACCCTGTTTTTATCGTTCTGTATTCTCCCCACTCTCAGACCTGTGGCTCTGACCCCGCCTACTCCCACTAGCCTGTCCCGGGTCCCCAAAACTTACGTGCTCCATTCATAGCTGGTGGGCTCAGGTTTGCTTTGCGCCTCACAGGTGAGGGCCACCCCTGTGCGACCAACATACCAGTTGTCATCATAGCCAGAGATGGTGACTTCGGGTGGATCTGGAGAGAAGAGAATGGACACCAACGCTGAGATTTTGAGAATGGACACCAACGCTGAGATTTTGTGTTGGTTTGTTTGTTTTGCTTTTCGAGGCAGGGTTTCTCTGTAGCTTTGGAGGCTGTCCTGGCACTCGCTCTGTAGACCAGCCTGGCCTCGAACTCACGGAGATCTGCTTGCCTCTGCCTCCCGAGTGCTGGGATTAAAAGGCGTGCGCCGCCACCGCCTAGCAGAGTCTGAGATTGGACAGTGTCTGAAGGGGCCTCTCCTGAGCAGGGAGCAGCTCGGCCCGTGATGGATAAGTCTGGGCACCCTTAGTCAGGGGGACACAAAAGGGATTTCCCACCCAGACCCTTCCTTCAAGTGGGTTTTCCTGGACCAACTCCTGGCTCGTCTTGGGTGTCATGAGAGAATAGATCTTTTTGGACACTCCAAACACCCGGGGGCACACTCAAGGCTCCAAGAAGTCCTGCGGGAGAGAGCCCAGGGTACGCAATGATGGGAAGGAAGGTGTGTATAGGAGCCAGGTATTAATCACAGCAATTGGGAGGCTGAGGCAGGAGGATCATGAGTTTGAGGGCAGCCTGGGCTACACTGCGAGATCCTATCTCACTTCGTTCCCCTGAAGAGCAATCTTACATTGATACCGTTGATGGGCTTGGTAGAGACAGGGTATGGGAAAATAACGTAGATGCTATTGGTTAGGGACATAACTCATTCCTAGGGGAGCCAGGGCCAAAGATATTAGGGGGCAATATTAATGTAACACTAGTAAGATAGATAGATGATAGATAGATAGACTCTCTCTCTCTCTCTATCTGTGTGTGTGTGTGTGTGTGTGTGTGTGTGTGTGTGTGTGTGTAGACCACTTAGGATCTTAAATCCCTACAGTCCATATGGCCACCAAAGCCACACAGATTCTCAGGGCTTCATGGCTGGTCTAAGACACTCAATTCTGGAGGTTTAGTCTAGCAAGAAGAATGTAAAGGGTCTCACCAAGACTGTCTGAGAAATCATTCATTGTGTCAAAGTGATAGTCTTGGGCCAGCAAGATGGCTCAGTGAGTGCCTGTCACCAGGTCCAATAACTTGAGGTCAAGTCCCAATTCTTTTTTTCTTTTTTTTTGGTTTTTTTTTTTTTTTTCGAGACAGGGTTTCTCTGTGGCTTTGGAAGCTGTCTTGGAACTAGCTCTTGTAGACCAGGCTGGTCTCGAACTCACAGAGATCCTCCTGCCTCTGCCTCCTGAGTGCTGGGATTAAAGGGGTGCGCCACCAACACCAGGCTCCAAGTCCCAATTCTTATACAATGGAAGGTGGGAATCTGGAGCCGATTTCCACACGTGCACAGCAAGTATCTCCTAGACACATACGTACATACATACATTTAATAAAATCTTTTTTTTTTTTGAGACAGGGTTTCTCTGTGTAACAGCCCTAGCTGACCTGGAACTCACAGAGATCCTCCTGCCTCTGCCTCCTGAGTGCTGGGATTAAAGGGGTGCGCCACCAACACCAGGCTTCTGAGTGCTGGGACTAAAGGCTTGCGCCACCACCGCCCGGCTAAAACACTTTTAAAAATTTATCTTTTGGATGTTTTGGGTTGGGTAAAAATTCACTATGCACATTAAGTGGGTTTGGGTTTGTTTTCTGAGTGTGTGATAGCCCAGCCTGGCCTCCGATTTGGATCCTCTGACCCTCCTGAGTGTTGGGATTCTAAATGTGTTCCATCACACCAGACTTACAGGGGCTCATGTAGCCCAGGCTGGACTTGAGCGTGTTCCCATCAAGCCCTAGGGTGACTTGAACTTCTGGCCTCCACTTCTAGGCAAGCAGTCTAGCAACTGAGCTGGGTGAGCCAGTGTAGACGGTGCCGGGCGGCGCAGACCACCCTGGAGGACCACGTGAACCTTGATCGGGGACTCGGTGTCAGCCACAGCCAGCCCACGGTTGGACGGCGAACCGGGAAGGGGCAGATGGGCATAGACACCGCTGGCGGGAGGGGACCATCCTGGGCTAACAGAGGGGGGTCTTAGAAAAGGTAAGGGGTCCCTGTAGCAGAGGCAATGGCAGCTCCCCAAGCCGGTGGCGTAAGGCCCGGGCTTGATGGTGGATGAATTAGGGTAGACAGCAGGGAGACGGAAGTGGGGCTCATGCGCATGCGTAGACATACTCACAGGGCACAGAAAGGGTCACAGCTTTCAGTTTCGGCTTCCGCAAGCTTTCGTGTTTCACCCTGCAGGTGATGTTCTTGCCATCGGCTTGTCTCGAGGGCACCAAGGAGTAATAGCTGGTAACTATGGAGGTGTTCGGCTCATGAGTTTCATTGAAGGTTCCGTTCAGGTCCGAGAGCCAGTCGATTTTCGGCAGAGGGCGACCTCCAATGGAGATGCATTTAGCCACGGCCTGCTGCTTCAAAATGGGAGACGCCTCCAGGGGCTCTGCATTGTTTTTAGGCTCAACTGCAAGAACCATTGAAGAGACATCATTTCACAGGCTGCTCAGCAGCCGCAAGAGAACCCTTCACCCTGGCGTTTTGTTTTGTTTTGTTTCGAGACAGGATCTCACTGTGTAGCCCAGGTTGGCCACTTGCTTCAGGCTCCTTGGCAGCAGGGATGCGGGTATGTGCCGCTATGCTATGATGGCCATTTTGAAATCCTAGCTCAGGGCTGGCAAGATGGCCCAGTGGATAAGGGAGCTTGCGGCCAAACCTGATAGCCTGAGTTCAATGCCCGGGACTCCCATAGTAGGACAACTCCGTGGTACCTCATGCACATCATGACGCATGTGCACAGGCACACAGATAAATAAAATATAATGAAATAACAAACAAAACCCTCTACCCTGTTCCTGAAGAGCCAGATAGATGTAGACAGGGTTCTGTATGTTAGAGGCAGGTAATAAGAATACACAGATTGAAGCCGGGAGTTGGTGGTGCATGCCTTTAATCCCAGCACTTGGGAGGCAGAGGCAGGAGGATCTCTGTGAGTTCGAGACCAGCCTGGTCTACAAGAGCTAGTTCCAGGACAGCTTCCAAAGCCACAGAGAAACCCTGTCTTGAAAAAAACAAAAACATAAAAACAAAACAAAAGAGAATACACAGGCTGTTGGGCATTGGTGGTGCACACCTTTAATCCCAGCACTCGGATGGCTCCTCAGGAGAGGGGCCTTGTTGGAGGAAGTGTGTGACTGTGGGGGCGGGCTTTGAGGTCTCTTTTGCTGAAGCCTCCCTGGGTGTGACTATCAATTGACTTCCTGTTGCCTGCAAGGTGGAGCACTACCAAAACCCGCCCATGTCTGCACAGCCACTATGCTCCCCGTCCTGATGATAATGGACTGAGCCTCTGAACCTGTAAGCGAGCCGGCCACTCTAATTAAATGTTTCCTTATAAGAGTTGCCCGGTCGTGGCCAGCCTGGTCTACAGAGCGAGTTCCAGGACAGCCTCCAAAGCCACAGAGAAACCCTGTCTCGAAAAACCAAAAAAAAAAAAAAAAAAAAAAAAAAAAAAAGAGTTGCCCGGAGCCGGGCGTTGGTGGTGCACGCCTTTAATCCCAGCACTCGGGAGGCAGAGGCAGGCGGATCTCTGTGAGTTTGAGACCAGCCTGGTCTACAAGAGCGAGTTCCAGGACAGCCTCCAAAGCCACAGAGAAACCCTGTCTCGAAAAACCAAAAAAAAAAAAAGTTGCCCGGGTCATGGTGTCTCTTCACAACAATAGAAACCCCAACAAAGACAGCAGTTACACAGAGAGACCCTGTCTCGAAAAGCCAGCCAACCAAGCAATAACAACAAAGGATATAAGGTCAAGCTGTCTGTCAGAGTGGTCTCTGGGAGGGGGCTACAGAGAAAGGGTGCAGCAGCTAAGAGGACTGGCTGCTCTTCCAGAGGACCCAGGTTCAATTCCCAGCACCAGCATGGTGCTCACAACGAACACCAAGGGATCCGGCACCCTCTTCTGGCCTCCTCCGGATCAGACACTCCCGCGGTACACAGATATATATGCAGGAAATCACCCGTGTATGCAATGCAGACAATATGCACTGTATATATTACTCCCGCGGTACACAGATATATATGCAGGAAATCACCCGTGTATGCAATACAGACAATATACACTGTATATATTTATCTCTATTATATATGTGTGGGTGTATAGATACATATATATGTTGCGGAATATTTAGCTATGTAAAGGCTCATTACATTTGTTTATGTTGCATTTGTTTAACACCGTAAGGATGTGCGCTTATTTATAAAAAGATGTGCGGCTGTTTGACCTTGCCTGCCTAAGGCACCTGATCGGTCTAATAAAAAAAATGCTGAATGGCCAATAGCCAGGCAGGGGAAAGGATAGGAGGGGCTGGTGGGCGGAGAGGATAAACGGGGAGAAATCTAGGGTCGAGAACAGCGAACCAGGAGCACGCCTGGGACCACACGCCAGGCAGCAGCCAGCCAGGCAGACACGAGGAGCAGTGGAAGTGAGGCAGATAAAAGAAAAAGTGAAAAGCCCCGAGGCAAAAGGTAGACCGAGAGAAACAGGTTCATTCCAGTTAAAAGAGCCAGTCAGAAACGAGCCCAAGCTGGGATGAGCATTCAACACTAAAAGATGTCTCTGTGTCATGATTTGGGAGCTGTCTGGTGACCCAAAAGGAAAACCCAGGTGCATTTATATATATACTACAAAGAATGCTCTTTGGTGGTAGCGCCCGCCTTTAATTGCAGTGCTCAGGAGGCAGAGGCAAGGGAATCTTTGTGAGTTTGGGGCCAGCCTGGTCTACAGAGCGAGCGGAGTTTCAGGTCAGCCAGGACTACATATCGAGACCACATCTCAACAAAGGTTTGGGGGACCAAGGTGTGATATCTGTAATCCCAGCACTCAGGAGTAGAGACTGGGAGGTCAGGAGCTCAAGGTTATCCTCAGCTACATAGCACCTTGGAGGCTAGCCTGGGCTACATGGGTCCTGCTTCAATCTTCTGACTTGGAAGACAGGCCACGTCCCAAGCCTTCTTGCTTTTGGCTAGCTCCCTGCTCCCCTGGCCCCGGGTTCTTCTCGCCCCAACACTTACCAAGCACCTGCAGGTAGACACTGGCGCTCTTGCTGCCCGCGGGGAATGTGGCAAACTGACATTCATAGTTGCCTTCATCTTCAACACGCAAGTGAGATATAGACAGAGAGGCGTTCCACTGATCCAGCCTGGAGGCCAAGAACTCCACCCTTCCCGGGTCTGTGATGCTGGGTCCCTTCACGGGGTGGAAGACCGCCACAGTCAGGGGGGAGCTGTCCGGCTTCTTCCTCATCCAGGTAACCTGTGTGACGGTCACACTCTCCGAAGACGTCAGACTGCACAGCAAGTAGGCTGTTCCGTTCAATAAGCCGGTCACATTGGTGAGCACCTGCACGGCCACCCCGGAAGCTGTGAAGCCAGAGGTGTTGTTAGTTCAGCTCACTTAAGGATTTATTTGTGTGTTAATTTGCTAGCATGTAAGTATGTGGACTACATACGTGCAGTGCCCATGGAGGCCAGAAGGGGGCATCGGATTTCCTCCCCCAACTTGAGTGACAGAGGGTTGTGTATCTCCACGTGGGAGCTGAGGACTGAACCCAGGTCCTCTGCAAGAGCAGCCAGTGCTCTTAACTGCTGAGTTACCTCTCCAGCCCATTATCTTCATAGTAATCTTATTGTTATTAGAGAAAAGGTCTCAGTATGTAGACCGGGCTGGCCTGGAACTCACAGAGATCTACCTAAGTGCTGTGATTAAAGGTGAGCACGACCACCCTTGGCTAGACATTTAGTCACCCCACTAGGCTCTCTGTGAGACTCTGTCTTTAGCCCAACATACAGTAGGGTGCCCTCGACATTAGTTGAATACAGTGTTGGGCATTCCCGATGAGAAGGATAATGACTTCAGAGTTAAGTTCTGGGAAATACAAACACAGCCATGATGAGCCGTGGCTCCTCTGTACAGGGTTGAACTTGGGGTCTCAGTTTCTGCATCTGAAAAATGGGCTTTCTAATTCAGATATAAATGTCTGATAATGGCCTTTTCCAGTGAAGGTTTAATCCCCTTGGGGGCCAAGAAAAACCTCTGAACAGATATAGTATGCTTCCTGAGTTTAGATGTTAAAGGAATGAAAGAAAATGAATATGGACAGTCATAAAAATAAGTAGTCTTTAAGGAGAGACTAAAGTAATATAAAAGGAAAAAGTCAGGCCGGGCGGTGGTGGCGCACGGCTTTAATCCCAGCACTCTGTGAGTTGGAGGCAGAGGCAGGCGGATCTCTGTGAGTTGGAGGCTAGCCTGATCTACAGACCAGGACAGTCAAGACTAAACAAAACAGAGGTAGACCTATAGAGAAGTCTTTCTGTTTTTCTTTCCTCTTTTAAAAATTTATTTTATTGAGGTATACATTTTTCTCCACTCCCCTTCCCTCCTCCCCTCTCCCTCTTCACCCTCCCCCCTGCCCTCCATGCTCCCAATTTACTCAGATCTTGTCCTCTCTCTCTCTCTCTCCCTCTCTCCCTCCCGCTGTCTGTCTCTGTCTCTCTCTCTGTCTGTCTGTCTCTCTGTCTGTCTCTCTCTCTGTCTCTGTCTCTCTGTCTCTGTCTCTCTCCATCTATCTCTGTCTCTCTCTCTCCCTCTCCCTCTCTCTCTCTTCTCTTCTCTGAGACAGGGTTTCCATATGCAGCCCTGGCTGCGCTGGTAGCTGGTATTACAGGCGTGCATGACCACCTCACCCTGCTGGTTGATCTCAGCCTGGAGGGCAGCAACTCTCACCCTGAACACTCAGCGGTTGTGAGTCACCCCTTGGAACAATGCCAGTCCTTAAGGAGCATGGCTTAGCTCGGAGCTCCTGCCAGCTGTGGGTGAGGACCGAGCACCCGGACGTGGTCAGTGGTGGCGCCCTTCGCCAAAAGCCCCGAGTGACGGGAGGGCTGACTTGGGTCTCGAATACAGCAAAACGAATGAATGAAAGTCACGGGGTGGGAAACATTCCTTCGGACAGGGCATAGGGTATGACCGCAGAGAAAAGATTCCCCCGGCATTAAGTCACTGCCTGGATTTTTTAAATTAATTTTTAATTTTATTTTCGGTTTTTCGAGACGGGGTTTCTCTGTGTGGCTCTGGAAGGCTGGTTTCTTGGGCGTGGGAATACGCTCCCCGGTACTAGAATGCCCGGTGTGAGCCATCAGGCCGGATCTTTCTGGAATCTGTGCGCGGGAATCCAGATCTAGGACTTTTGGTCCGGGAAGAAGGGATCAGTGGGGCCCGTACTCACCCGCTCTTTCGGGCTCGCCGAGCTGCAGCAGCGCGAACAGTAGCGGCAGCAGCGACCAGGTTAGGGGCGTGCGGCGGTCCATACGGCTCGGGAGACGATCCAGCGCCTGCGGGGCGCGCGGGTGTCGAGGCCCTGGGATCTCACCCCCGCTCCGATGCAAGCCGGGCAGCCCTACGCGTCCTGCGAGCGGGCACGTTGTGAGAGCCGGCACTGCTCGGTTAGGGCCGCCTCTGGATGGGCGCGGCCGACCCCGCCCCCAGCTCCGGGGTGGGGCGCGGGGGTGGGGCGCGGAGCTGAGATTCCAGCACTCCCGAAGCGGAGGCTGGAGGATCGCGGGGAGTCTGAGGCCCAGCCTGGGGTATATCAGGTGGGTCTGGGCTAAAGTGAGACCTTGTCTCAACCAACAATAATAATAATTTAAAAAAACAAGAAAGAAACGAAGGAGGAGGAGGAGGGGGAGGAGGAGGAGAAGGAGGAGACAGGAGTGGGGTGGGGAGAACAAAATCTAAAGGAAACCAGGGCTGGGGACCAGCTGCTTAGCTCGCCTGCTGGGGAGGAGGATCTGTGGGATAAGCCGGGGTGGGGGGGGACTGATTCAGACCCCCAGCTTTCATAAGTCATCTCAGCGCTTGGAGGATCAGAAATCCAAAGTCACTTTGAACTAGGTACAGCGAGTTTGAGGCCAGCCTGGGCCGTATGAGGTCATTCTGAAATCTTTTTATAAAATTAAATGGGATAAATTAATCTTATTTTAAAAATAAAAGTTAACAAAATAAATGTAAATAAAAATAAGTTAAATTTAAAAGAGGAAAAAAATAAGCCTCCGGTCCCAGAGCTCTGGAGACAGAGGCAGGTGATTTCCAGTCCACCTGTGTCAAAAGGGAAGAAAGGTCTCATGTTACTCACGCTGGCCTCAGGCTGAATCCTAGGCCAGTGGTTCTCAACCTTCCCAATGCTGCGACCCCTTTAATACAGTCCCTCATGTTGTGGTGACCCCCCTCCTTCCGCCACAAAATCATTTTCGTTGCTACTTCATAACTGTGATTTTGCTGCTGTTGTGAGTTGTAATGTAAATATCTGATATACAGGGTCTGATGTGTGACTCCCCAAACTGGCCACGCCTACGGGTTGAGAACCACCGCTGCTCTAGGCTGACCTTGAACACGGGACCTCCCTGCCATCACCCCCCCGAGTGCGGACGATAGAAAGGCGTGTGCCCACAAGGTTCGCTCTGGGCTAATTTCTGGAAGGGATCTGAGGGGCAGGTCTGGATTTTCTGTGGCATTTCCACACTGAGGTCCTGTGGCCACTCTGGCCATGCTGTCACTGCCATGGGATACCCCCAACCCCCTACCCTCCCCCCGCCCCCATTGCTGTGGCAGAGCCCGGCAGATCCTAGTGAGTAGGAGGCCAGCCTGATCTGCCCAGCTAGTTCAGAACAGCCAGCAGGTGTCTCGGAAACCCTCCCTGCCCAAAGGAAGAAGGTCCCCCCCTGCCCGGTCCTGAGTCTCCGACACTATGTCTTTCCTTCTGGCCAACCTCACGCACAGCTTATTGAAATGAAAGAAAAGATACCAAAGTCAGATCCCTGGGCAAGCTGACACCCACCTTCACATTTTTCTTATTAATTTTTTTTTGCTGTTCTTTAGCACCTGTTTCTGAGTTTGATAGATTCTAAAACTGCTTTTCTTTTTTTTAAAATAATTCATCTTTATTTTATGGGCACTGGTGTTTTGCCATCAAGTATGTCCGTGTGAGGGTTTCCCTGGGAACTGGAGTTACAGACAGTTGTGAGCTGCCCTGTGGGTGATGGGGATTGAACCTGGATCCTCTGGAAGAGCAGCCCGTGCTCTTAACTGCTGAGCCATCTCTCCGGCCCCCTAAAACTACTTTTCAATGTATATATGCACTATGTATGTGTGTACCCAACTGGGTGTGTATGCAGTGTGTGTATGTATGTATAGCCTGTATGAACGAAGTGTTTGTTTGCATGTACATGAGTATGTGTATGTGGTCTGTGAGCTATGAGTGCATGTGTGTAGTGTGTGTCTGTCGTGTGACTGTGTATGACTGTATGTAGTGTGTGTGAATGTGTATTTATAGTGTGCCTGTGTGTATGCGCGCATGGGCACCTATGTGTGCCTTGGTACATGTGTGGAGGTCGGAGGACAGCCCTTAGGGGCCCATGCTCTGCCTCCGCCATGTGGCCTCAGAGTCTAGTCTTGAAGCTTGTGAGGGAAGTGCCTGAGGCGCCAGGGTGCCCTTGCTTCCCTAATTTGTATTGTTGTGTTCTAAATGAGCGATCCCACCATTCCTTCCTTAGATACCCTTTCCCTGGTGGTACCCAGTGAAAGGCCTCCACGCCTCTCCAGCTGACTGCCTAGGGCTAGGTGGGCTTGGCAAGGCAAGATGGCTGAATTGGGGGTAGATGCATGCCCGCTAGCTAGCACACAAACGAATAACTAAAAGCCAACTTGGCAATGCTATTTTCCCCAGAGGAGAACACAAAGCCAGAGTATTTTTGATTTCCCTCAAAAACTTCTAAATCAAATTAACGTCACTAGGAAACCTAAAACCGTCTGAGGTAACAAACGTTTGTTTTGGTTTGGCTTTTGGTTTTTGGTTTTTTTTTTCCCCTCCTGTTTCCTTTCGTGAATCTCTGTTCCCTTTGTCTCCTGAGCTGTGCCAAGCTAGTGAGAGAACCTGTGTCCTGACCAGCAGGGCACAACGGGGCCGGGCCCACGGGACCCGGAATGGTGGAACAAGAGATAAAAAGAACAGACAGCAAGACAGACTTTCCGATCCGATCAAGCTGCGTTTATCCAGGGTCTTGCACAAGCTTATATAGAGGAATGCGGCATTGGCCATGGAGCAGAGGCTGTTAGACCTCTGGGAAGTTGGGGGGGGGGCTGTTAGGAGTGGGGAGGTTTGATGTGCGATAGAGCAGGAGAGCTCACCAGGGAGTGTAGGTGTTAAGGAAGCATTGTTAAGCAACGGGTTATCTCTACGGCGCCATCTGTGGGAAAGCGCCTTGGGGCAAGAAATAGAGTTTTACTGTGACCTGGTCCTCAGCCAGTCTGGGCTTTGGTTAGCGGTCTGCCATCCTCGGCGGCCTTTGTCCGGACTGTCACTCAAATGTTGGCTCTTCCCTCTGTGTGGGAGGGGTCTGGAGAGGGAGGGATCAGTACCTCCCTGTGTGTTTCTGACTGAGCTAATCTGGTCCATCCAACCCAATGAATGATAAGGCATATCTCTGGAACTTTCTAAAAAGACTATGGCCAGCCCTTAAGTTCTCCCCCTGAAGTGTCCAGCCTGCGGGGGAGAATGAAAGTATTTCTTCGAAAATAAATAATGAAGTGTATACTGCATTTTGTCTATTGTGTGTGTTCGATTTGAAAGCGGCTGTGGTGAACAGCTGGAGGTCAGAGGTTGAGAAGTGTGAACGGCACAGTAAAGAAACCGAAATAGACTCCAAAAGAACACAGAGAAACCCTGTCTCTTAAAACCAAAAAACAAACAAACAAACAAACAAACAAAATAGAACAGCTGCTCCGTGGGGAAAAGTTTATTCCAAACTGCCAAGGTTTTCTCCCTGGGTGGGGGCGGCGAGGGACTCTTCTGGGTTCCTTTTGTTGTTGTTGTTTTGTTTTGTTTTTTGAGACAGGGTTTTTCTGTGGCTTTGGAGGCTGTCCTGGAACTAGCTCTTGTAGACCAGGCTGGCCTCGAAAATCAGAGATCCACCTGCCTCTGCCTCCCGAGTGCTGGGGGGGGGGGTTAAAGGCATGCACCACCACGGCCCGGCTCTTCTGGTTCTGAGGGAGTGGGTACCTGGGAAGAAGGGGCCTGTGAGCTGGAGTGAGTGGGGACTTCCAAGTGTGTAACAAGTACTTGTGAGTAGGGACTGAGGGAGCCTGGAGACCAGCATGGCCATCTGTCCCTTTTCAAGAGATAAGGAGAATGACTCCTATTAGCAAGTGAGAACCAGCTTCCCTTGCCCCCAAGGGAATGCTGGCTTTTGTCTGTGAGAATTTGGGGAAAGGCACTGGGCATGTTGGCTTGTACGCCTTTAATCCCAGCACTCCGGAGGCAGAGGCAGGCGGATCTCTGTGAGTTCGAGGCCAGCCTGGTCTACAGAGCGAGGTCCAGGACAGCCAGGGCTATTAACACAGAGAGCTGTCTCTGGTAAACTGAAATACAGCCTTTTCCTTCTCAAGTTGCTTTCAATCCTGGTGTTTGTCACAGCTGCAATAAGTTAACAAGGACAGCCACACCGAGAGAGCTCGGAGATGGATCCGATGCTGTCTGGCGACATCCTCAGCTTTGGAGCTGGTGCGAATGGGTGGTCTGTAAAGATAATGCGTTCCCAGAGGTGCCGCGTGAGGCTCAGGAGGAAATTCGAGTAGACACGGACTTGGGCAAGGTGGCTCGTGGTGATTGGGCGCTGGTCTGCGACGTTCTAGCGCTCTAGTTAGTCACGGTTGTAGAATCCTTCCATGGGGGCGGCTTTTCGGTGTCGGGGAACTTTGGGAGGGACAGATCTGGTTTTGTGGCACTGCTGTGGCCTTGTCAGTGGAGGGGCAGCAGAAGACACCTCACAGGACTGATGTGCAGCTGGAGGAAGTCCCTTCGTCTTGATGTCCCTGCAGAAAACCATTTCAGGACCAGCCAGCTCGGAGTGGAGTGTTTATGAAGAATGGTGGGAAACCAGGCGTTGGTGGCGCACACCTTTAATCCCAGCACTCGGGAAGCAGAGGCAGGCGGATCTCTGTGGGTTCGAGGCCAGCCTGGTCTACAGAGCGAGTTCCAGGACTGCCTCCAAAACAATGCAGAGAAACCCTGTCTCGAAAAACCAACAACTGTTCGTCACTCCATCTTCTCGTTTACCAGGTCTAATCAGGCCTGTGTCTGCCTCCCTCTTGAGTAGACCAGAGGCCACATCTAAGCAGACTTCCTGCAGCAGCTCCCCTCTCCAGGTGGCCGGACAGGAATTCCAGACCAGTGTTGTCTCCCGGGACATTGACCCAGCTGCCACGTTTATCGGTGCTGGGGCTGCCATGGTTGGTGTGGCTGGATCAGGGCGTGGCGTTGGGACAGTGTTTGGTAGCTTGATTGTTGGCTCTGCCAGGAACTCGTCTCTCAAGCCACAGCTCTTCGTCTCCTGTGCCGTTCTGGGCTTTGCCCTGTCTGAGGCCCTGAGTCTCTTCTGAGGGATGGTCGCCTTCCTCATCCTCTTGGCCAGGTGAGGCTCCATGGGGTCAGCCAGCCATCCCTGCTGCTTCCACCAACGTTGGGAAGGGCTGGCTCAGCGGATGAAGGCGCTTGCAACCAAGCCTGAAGGCCCCAGTTCGATTCCCCACCTGACAATGG